ATAAAATATTGATTGATACAATTCAGCAAGCATTCCCTAATAATGCTACTGTTATCCGAATTCCTTATCTTGTTTATGTAATCTAGCTTTGTTTGAATTAGCTACTTGATCGTCTTAAAGCTATATTTTAAAACGATATTGCAAAGACAAAATGGACCGATCAGCAATCATTAGCAGCGAAAATAAATGGAAAATATCAAAAACGCGAGATCTCGGGTACATTAAATAAGATTTGCTACCTTGCAATTTATATTTATGCAAGTTTATAATGTCGGGAGACCTTCCTTCAGCTTCAGTCTCAAGAACCTAGGCTAGTACCTATTCAAGACGTCCAAACTCGATGGAACTTGACGTATTTGATGTTTTAACGTGCAAAATGGTTATGCAGCTATTTCAAACCGTTCTATAAGCAATATAATTGTAAAGAGATATTACTTAATGATAAAGAATAGCGTTAAATTGATTATCTTCTCTGTATTATGTAACCATTTTTTGACTATACTATTGAGCTATCAAAAATAAAGGAAGTTATTACGCATCTAGTTTTCAAGCTTTATAACGCACTTTTCGAATATCTTGAGCAATCGATAAGCCAGCTAAAAAAGAAACGTATTAGATAAAAACAGCAAATGTTACAGTCACTAAAAGCAGGCTAACAGAAGCTTAATAACTACTACTCTTAAACAGATAGGATGAAAGGATATATCTTTGCTATCAGTACTATACTTATATCAGATAATAAGCTTCAATTCTTTTAGACTGATAATTAGAAACTACATTAGTATAAGATATATCGCAAATTATTTTAATCAGTATTGTTTCCCTATCAAAAACGTCTTTTAAGAGATTAAGTTTCGCTTACATTCCAAACGTTATCAAGATCAATATTAAGACTTAATAAGATGCTAAGTAGGAATAAGGCTGTAACAAAACCTATTAGAGATAAGACTACCCAGTATCTCGATAGTAGTAAGTCTATTAATTTTAGCTATTAATGTTCTATACTGATTTAATTCTAGATTCAGTAGAAGCTGAGTCTCTCCAATTCTAGCGTAACAATTAATTCTGTTTTTTTACAATTGTATTACTTGCCCGGAATGCTCTTTCAATTTCTGTAACCGGTACTGATATTGAGCGGCTTTTTAATACTGTTTATAATGTTTGCCATTACTGACGTAACCGTTTGAAGTCGGAAACTATTGAAGAAATTATGCTATTTCTATGTATATCAAAGTTTGATCTTAAGAATACAGAGACAAAAGAGCTTAAAAAATATTTTACTTTAAATAAGATTAAGATATCAAAGGAACAGAGTAATAAGAATCTGAAAGATATTAGAATTAATTTAATTAGCGATAACGAAAAAGAAAAAGAGGAAAAGGAAGAAGATACTGAAATAGTTACTTCCAAAAGTTCCAATAAATTAATAGATTTTGGTACTACGAGTGATACTGAAGAGCTCCAGTTACCAGAGAATAGGATTCAATTACAGATATCTGGAAGAAAACGCAAATATAAAGAGGACAATAGCTTTAAGCAGTATTAAAAGAATAAAATTAATTTAACTCGAACCTATCTATATCAATTCTTATTTCTTCTATATGTAATTACAATACCTAAAATTACAGACAAATTTGCATTAATTATGCAGTCACGAGATTCTTTTTTGTTTGTCTTGTTTACACCAATATGGGTACCCATGGGTTACCTATGATGGGTAATGGGTCCTCTTCTAAAACCCATAACCTATCATGGGTCGGAGACTTGAACCCAAAACCCAACCCATCGATGGGTTTTATATGGGTACCCATGGGTACCCATGGGTCCTGCCGAAGTCTAATTATATATATATATTATGATCATGTGGAGTAAAATCGTCATACTGTTAAATAGCTAGTCCTAATTAAGTAATTTTGACGATTTGCCGATATAGTCAACGAATTACTGATATAGTATCGTCAACCTTCTAGGACTGACTATATAGTATAGTTGCCGATATAATATCGTCGAAATAGGCAAATAGGCAAATAGGCAAATCGTGAACAGCCCTGCATCTTGAGGTAAACGGTGGACCATTTACCTACTGAGCTACTAAAAAGACCAGAATTCCAATCCGCCAGATTGGAATGCGCATCACTCTACATACTCCGTAGTGGTTCATGATCGTCGCAATGGATAAGTACTTGAAGGCTGGTTTCCCCATATACGGAAGAAAAATCCGAACGAATTTTAACGTAACCCTGCTCTCACCCACCATTTTTGCTTTGTCCAACATTACAGACTCGCTTGATATGGATTCAATTAGATTACCTGTATACCTTTTCTTTTACTACGACATACTCCGTAGTAAGGTTTCTAGTTTCGATGGCGCTAAGAAGGTAACTAAGCTAGAGATGGTAAGGTGGGATGGGTCGCCTCAGGCAGACCAACCAATAGCAAGCAGATACCTTCCGGTTGTTCTCCACTATGTAAACTAGCCCGCTTGGTGCAATGGTAGCACACCTCACTATTCTTAACCGTATTGTTACGGAGATCCAGGTTCGAATCCTGGGGCGGGTAGACCTTTTTTCTTTTTTCTTTTTTCTTTTTTTTTTTTTCTTTTTTTGTTCTGCGTTTACCTATTTCTCTTCCTCTCTGTTTCTCACGCTCTTTCTCTCTCTTTCTTGATGAAGGATGTAAAAAGATTTTAGTAACTTGTTTGGGTTGGAGATTTCGAAATCGGGTCTTCATACCAAAACCTTGCCTTGCTGAATACAGCTATTAACCTAGTTATGAAATATGGAAGTCTTTTGATCGATTATGTGCTACTGACCAGAATCATTTGAATCCGTTTTATGTAAGTAGGCGCTTTATAGCGTCGAGAATCAATTGGGGCATTCTATTTAATCTTGGCTGCTGATTTACTCATACAGCTAAATAATACGAGAGCGGCGTGAGTCACCCGCCGCAGCTGGGATCCTGACAGACAATTAAATATGCAAAGCGACCGACAGGAAATGCTCAATAGGAGCCATAGCATGGAGGGAATTCAAATTTTTACTCATTAGAGCGCGTAGCTACCTTCCACCCAACATGGCCTTATCGAACATTGCGCTTCTTCCGGCAATAGCAAACGACCACGGGACCCTCGATGCCATAATCGATGGCGCCTGCGCGCCCTCAAAGAGGACCCCGAAGCATTTTCGTCGAAATACGACGATGAAGTGAGATTCCCACGAGAAAGGTGGCAAGCACGGATCCAAAATCCAAGCGCCAATACACTTATTGCACTCGATGATACAGCAAATTGCGATGCAGTTCCTCATGCCAGCGATGATTCCACCCTACCCGCATTACTGTCGAGGAAACGGCTCGGTACACTTACAATGATGGGGCCTAAGCTTGTTCCTGATTCACGACTTGGCCCGCAAGGGGTATTGAACTTGTTTAACTCAAGTCATCCCGACTCCGCAGGTTCCGACACTGACCGGTCTATCATCGCTTATGCGTTGAATGGGATGTATGTTTCGCCAGAGGGACGAAGAGCCGGGAACGGAAGACGTCTGATAGAGGAAGCTGTGGACTACGTCAGAACGACGGGGGCTGCAGCCGGGGCAGCTCAGGTGTGGTTGTTAGCGTTCGTGGAGGTGGAGAACGGGTCTGCGGCCATGTTTTATCAGAAATGTGGGTTTCGGGAATGGGCGGAGGTTGTTTTATTGCAAGATCGCTATGGTCGGTTGATGGAATTACGCATTACATTGTGATGTCTTTCTGGTTAACGGGTTCTGTATCCAGGTTAGTTGGTTATAGCCTTATCCTATATTAAGCTTCGTTGTATATAAGACTCAACAGAATCGAGTTAAGTAGTATCCCACAGGACACGAAGGACCCAATAATTTCTCTTTGTCGTACATAAATCAAGTAATAGAAAGGCCATTACTCACTCCAAACCATAGCTCGCATTACATGACGGCCGGACTACCCCATGGGGAGACCCCGCCTGATGATGTCACCAGGAACGAATCCATATAAAAGTCGCCACGCCCCTCGTGTTACGTCCATTTCAACCTCAAACCAGTCAATATACTACTATCCTCGTTCAAGTACTCATAAATATGTTTCAAACTATCATCGGCCGCTCGAGACCTCAGATCAGCAACTTAACGAACCGATTGGGCTCGGTACGTCGCTCGTCGCGATAGTCGAAGCAAACTAATAAAAAGCAGAGAGACAGCTCTTCCGCTACAGGACAGATCCCTCTTCGCTCTTTGTATGTCCAGCGTGCTGTCTGGATCACTGCAGGTGGAGGAATGGCGGCCACCCTGCAAGGGGTGTATATGATGTTGAGGTCTTTTAGGCATCTAAAGTATATCTGAAAAAACGTTTCAATGCGCCGGAAAAGGGGAAAGACACGAAACACGACGGGGGAATTGGGGCGAAACATAAAGAAAAGAACAATTTCAGAAGATGAAAACGTGGCATGGCATTGCAAGCATTGATCACAAATTGGCTCATGATCTAAAATTGAATTTTTGACATATTACACCCCACCGGCTGCTACAGGCCGATCGACGTCCTGTATTCATCAATAGCTATTTTGTATTTCTCATAAGACGGCTATCCCGTCAACCTTGCGATCTGAAATATTCCTAATTTTGATAAAGGATAATGAACGCTGCACAATCATGTTCGCCTTGGTAAAGTTTAATCAGAGTTTATTCTATCAGATTGCATAAAGAGGAACTACGAAACGAAGCAAGTATTTCCACCATGTATAAGATATAAAATTAATGATAGTCTACTCAGATGCGAATATACACATCCAACTGCACTCTCATTCTAACAAAAACCAAGAAATCACAATATTAACAAACAAGCCGTGAACAGCCAAGGAAAACACGGGCCATCCAACGAAAGACTCTCGAACCATCAATTCTATAGTACAGCATAAGGCGTTAACACGTTAAGCCATCTGCCCTGTTTGCCGGTGTACATGGACGCGAGGCACAGAGAAAGACCGTTTAGATCTTCTTGCCGCCCTTTCCGCCCTTTCCGCCCTTTCCGCCCTTTCCACCCTTGCCACCGGTGGTGCTGCCCTTGGTCTTGGTAGGCGCAGGGGCGTTGGTCTTGGTGGGCTCGGCAGCCTTGGTAGTGGTGGGCTTGGGAGCAGGCTGCTGTTGGGTCTTGCCGGTGTCGTACTCCCAGCCGGTGCCAAGGGGACGGTTCTTGTCGGGAACGTGGTCGGGGGTGGTGCCCTTCTTGTACAGGGGAGTGGTGGGGATCTCGGTAGCGGTAGCAGGGTCGACCAGATAGACGTTCTTAACCTTGCTGTTCTTCAGGAGAGCGGGCCATTCGAAGTCCCACCAGAAGTTGGTGTCCGCGTTGCTGTAGGGGTACTGGTCCCACCACTGCTCGTTTGCGCCAGTGAAGAAGTAGACGTCACCCTCGCAGCTCTCAGCCAGGGCCTGCGAGATAAGGCCGCCACCGAGCCAGTCGGCCTTGATCTCCTTGGGGGCGGAACTGTCACTGTTCATGGTGGTGGGCCTGGGGACCTTCGAGGGCAGATCCATGCGGTAAGTGTACATCTTGTTGTTGACGTCGTTGTAGGTGACGGGGTCCTTGACCTTCTGGCCGAGGCCGAGGAAGCCACCGCTCTTAGGCGCGTGATCCTTATACCATTGACGCGCGGTGGTCTCACCCTTCTCCTTGTTCAGGCGGTAGTAGAACAAGCAAGTCTTGTCCTTGGTGATCTTCTGCTCCTTGATCTTGTCGTTGAAGAACTTAACGGAGATCACGGGCTTCGCAGTGGGCGCACGGGCTGCAAGCTCGTTACCCTCGGGGGCAGCAATGGGGACTAGCTCGGTGGTCACTGGCACGGCAGAGGCGACACGCAGCAGCAGGAAGAGGGTGGCCAGCAGAGCTGCCATGGGGGAAACGGCAATGACGCTTCGCATTTTGGTTGGAATGGGGCCGTCGAGGCTAATTAAGTTTAAAAACTAAGTGGAGTAAAGAATGTCGATCTGTACCGGTACAAGATCAAAAAAAGAATGATTGACTCAGTTTATAAACTGGAACGAAAGACTGAATGAGAGTGAGTGTGGAGTGAGTGATGAGATACTGGAGTGACACAGCGATCATCGCTGTTCTTATATTTTCCATCCTCGAGGCAGGAATGGGCCGACTGTCAGCATGAGAGATCTGTCCAGACTTGTAAGTAAGACGGCGTGCTATTGACGGGGGCCGAATACATTGGGGGCGAGGCCTGTTTCAAACTGAGTAGGAGTAACTGCAACTCATGCGTGATCGCCGACAGGATCAGCATTAAACGGTGGTTAGTGCTGGCGCTAGGACAAGGACAAAGCAAGCGTAACACACTCTGGGATGGTCTTCTACAGGGGCTACCAGATCGACAGAGCCTCTGGTGCCACCTCAAGCGTCAATGCCGCAGAAATGAATACGAGTCCACAGGGGAGAGCTCCACTATCAGGACGGCCCCCAAGCGGCTACCACCAATGCCCTCGACGCGAGCCAGGGGCGAAGCAGTCAGCAGTCAGCACACTGTGTTTAATTTTCGGACCCATGACGGACTCTTTATGGCGTATGATGTCAACCGGATAATTGAAACCAAAGATCCCGGTTTCTCGCGTCGAAGGGTTCATCTTACTGTACGAGGAACAGGGCGCCAAGAACGCCATGTGGCAGACGATGTCGAAGAACCTGCAGGAGCTAGAACGACTAGTGCACGCGTAGAAGCTTCTAAATGGACCAGATCAAGCCTGGGTCCAGACTCGTGAATAGTTCTATTTTGAGTTACTCAGACGCAGGGCACTTGGGCGAGCCTGCCCCTGACGGACCTCGGGGGACGCCCGCAGTCCGCCCAGCCCTAAGTTTTGGCCCCCAGGCCCATCTGACGGCTGAAAGTCCGACCTGACCGGATCACGACGGCAATAGGTTGTCTGGTCAGCTCGTCCGACCGAGACCTGGCGATGATTTATTGTTTGTCAACCGCGGTATTCATGGTTACCGGAATGGGACAATGGTCATGGCAGGAGAGAGCACCGGGAGGTAATCGGGGTCGTGCTTACTTCGAAGCAGATAATTGTGGGCTTGGGGCTGCCCGGTGAGTGGGATTGAGCTGAGCGAGACACTCCGGACTAATCCTCGTCTCATGCTGAGGACACAAATTTCTTGTTCAGCTTTGCTTGCATATGATGACTCCCGGGTGAAATTTGCGACCGGGTGCCGTCGCTGTATACGACTTGCCCTGTCCCACGACCACGGATTCGATCATTCCATATACTAAGTAGATTAATTTACCTTATGTCCTCAATAAGGAGCCAGACATGAATAGGTTGACGTCCCAGTTCTTGTTTTTAGACCACGGTGTTCTGCGAGCAGTCTGCTCCGTGCGTTACTGCCTCAGGCATCCAGGCTGTGATGTGTAGCAACACCGTTAGCCATCAAGGCCTGTAGTTCTCTGCCTCTTAATACCACTTTCATTATTGATTACTCAGTGACCTATTTACAGGCAATAAGTGGTAGAATTTGTTTCTATGGATTGCAGCGCAAAACCCAGCTGTATCTCGAATCTGAAGGTTTTTGATGCCTAAGGCGCAAATACCAACCAAGGCACCTCTTCATGGCTCCTTCATATAATAAAAGACCTCTTTTTCGGTAGGAATGTTTTCGAAAGGACTTCAATTAGCAACACCACGATCTTCTCCGTGCTTAGTATTTCTACAATCCTTCCGTTTCTTCTACGGACCTTCTATATTTTGTCCCTGGAAGATTGAATACATGTCCAAATCAGGTTTCAACTCTATGCACAACTAGCGGTGAACCACTCAACATCTCCAACTCTAAGACTTGGGTGGCAAAGGCTTGACCGGCCACTCGTAATCCCGCATAAAAACGCTCTGAAACTCCCATTCACCAGCACTGACAACCTCGGTCCTTTCTTCCGCTCCATCCGGGATAACCACCTCGCAGACCACCCCGTATGGCACAGTAACCCTAACTGTAATCTTCTCCTCTATCTCAATCACCTTCTCCGTCTCCCACGAACAAGACACTCTCCCATGCGGTGCCTCATGCTCCGCTCTCGCACTCGTAATCTCTCCCCCAATCGCTGGCCGAACGCGATACCGCCGCCACCCAGGCTCAATGCTTTCCAGCCCTGCTACCCTCTCGTACAGAAACCGTGCAATTGCCCCAAACGCGTAATGATTGAAGGAAGTCATCTCGCCAGGATTGATCGACCCGTCCGGTAGCATGCTATCCCAGCGTTCCCAAACCGTAGTAGCACCCATCGTCACAGGATACAACCATGACGGACACGTGCGTTCCGTCAACATCGCATACGCAATCTGCACATGGCCCGTTCGGAGCAGCGCTTCGCAGAGAAACGGGGTTCCCGCGAACCCGGTTCCAATGTGGAAGTTGTTCTTGCGGACGAGTTCCACGAGACGTGACCCGGCTCGGGTTTGTTGTGCGGGCGTGAGCAGGTCGAAGTAGATGGCGAGCGTGTAGGCTGCTTGGGAGTCGGAGGCGATGCGTCCGTTGGAGGTTACGTATTCGGCTTGGAATTGCTCTCGGGTGAGCACTGCGTCTGATGAGTACATTTTGGCGTCGTCGGGTTTTTCAAGGATAGTGGCGATTCGGGAGATGAGGTCCAGGCTGTGGATGAGGAATGCGTTGGAGACCATTTTGGCATCTGTCAAGCCTTTCCACGGGGCGTCGGGAGGGGCTGCAGGGTCAAGCCAGTCCTGTATGTTGTGTTATTTATGAAATGCTAGAGATCAGAGAGGGAAATACGAACGCCGAGCTGGAAGATACTTGTGTCCCAGAGATGCGTAGCACCCATCTTGTTTCTCGGAAGTGTTTTCATCCACGTCGTCATGCTGTCATACTGCTGAAGGAGAATGTTCTTGTCTCCGGTTTCTTGGTATAAAGCCCACGGTGCTAGAATGGTCACGTCGTGCCAGATTGCGCACGGCTTTCGTCGACACCATATGGGGTCAGGAAGTGTGGCGTTCGGTGTCACCATTGCTGGGACCCCGTCGAGAACTTTCTGATCATGCTCCACGTCGATTAACCAGTTGCGCAACATGCCAAAACAGTCGAAAATCATAGTCGCGGTGGGAGCAAATAAGGCCAGGTCGCCGGACCATCCGAGTCGCTCGTCACGCTGGGGACAATCCGTCGGCACGGACAGGAAGTTCCCTCGCATGCCCCATTGGACGTTCTGATAGAGTTGATTAAGCAGCGGGTCCGAACAAGAGAATGAGCCGGATGGTTTCATGTCTGTATGGCAGACCACGGCCTCTGCGGAACTCTCGAGATCAACGTCGCTGCTCCACCCGTCGATCTGCGCATACCGGAAACCGTGGAATGTAAAGCGTGGCTCGTAGACCTCGCCGTTCTGATCGCCTTTGAGCGTGTATTCGTCGACTGCTTGGCAGATCCGCAGCGGTCTCGTACACAGTTCGTCCTTCTCCAGCACCTCTGCATGGGAGAGCGCGATGCGATGGCCACGCGGACCCGTGATATTCTTCAACCGGACATACCCAACAAGATTCTGTCCAAAGTCCAAGACCACTTTCCCAGATGGCGTAATCAGCTTCTTGACTGGGTTGATCACTTCGATCCGCCGAACAGGCTCCCCATACCCTGCCGTCAGCTCAACGATATCCGGTAAAGGCTCCATGCGAAGAACAGGCTCCCATTTTCCGTCAGTACACCCAACAGACGACCACTTATCAATATCCAATCTCGCATCGTACTTCTCCCCATCATATATCTCTGCCTTCTGGATCGGACCCTTCGTCACCCGCCACGACCCATCCGTCACAACGTGCTCGACCTGCCCGTCCGCATACACCATCTCTAACTGCGCCAACAACGCAGTATGCGGTCCCCAGATATTGCGATGTCCGCCTTCAAACCCGATGCGACCGGAAAACCACCCCTCTGCGACACGCACTCCGATACAGTTGTCTCCGCTGGACAGCAACTCCGTGACGTCGTATGTCTGGTACTGCAGTCGGGCATCATATGCGGTCCAACCCGGAGGTAGAAAATGGTCTTTAACGCGGTGGCCATTTATCTCGGCTTCGTAGACCCCTTGGGCGGTGATGTACAGTCTTGCCTGAGTGATGGGCGCGCAGGCCGCGAACTCTTTCTGGTAGAGTTGTTCTGGATCGGCGGTCTGGGTGCCTGGTCCCCAGGGGGCAGCGATACGGTCGCATTGCCAATCCGAGCGCGAAAGAAGACCGCTCTCTAGAGAGGTTGAATCACTCCATGCCGTGGATTGACCAGTGGCATTCCATACGCGGACTCGTGCGGAGAGTTTCTGGCGGGATTGCAAGGGGTGAGGGTCTGGCCATGGCACGAGGCGGGAAGAGGACGAGTCAACACGATATGTAGACTTGGAAACTTGTTGAGAGGGAAATGATTGTCGCGAGATCTCTAGCTCGTATCCTGCCTGTTGGTAGTTGGCTGGGACGTCGCGGAAACGCCAGGAGAGCCGAGGTTGGGTCTCTTGCATGCCTAGCGTGTTCGGTGCGTGGTAGTGCTCGAATTGGAGACCTGTGACTGTAGGCATGATTATTCGTATCCGTCGAGTAGAGAATTTTTGGGAAGGATGAAAGGAAGAAAAACGCTCTCAAAAACTGCTCGTGGGAGAGAAGTAAGTGGGAATGCCCGAAGCCTGGGGGCGCGATCTCTTGGTGCCTCATCGGGGTGCAATACCCCGATCCCGGGGGATGAGACACCGTCCGATACAACGTTGTATACCTCCAAATGCCGACGGCAAAATAAGCAGCTCCACTTCTCGGAGGCTTTATCGGGGGTTTTATTGATTTGCCAATGCCGATCAGGTTCACTCACGCTTCACTTCTTAAGTAATAGCTATATAACCCATGAGAACTGAGGGTTCTCTCTCCAACGTGCAGTACTTTCAGCTTACCTCGAATCTTTGTTTCCAAGATCTTTACATACCACAGACAAAATGAACGTAAACATGTTCCAAGCTGGCGACAATGTCGCCGCCACCGACCACTCGGACATCGATAAACTTCCGGTCGAAGAGCTTCCTCTTCCTCCCGGCTTTGTCTGGGGCGGTGCGACTGCCTCATATCAAGTCGAGGGTGCGGTGGGCCAAGGTGGCCGTGGTCCATCCATCTGGGATACATTCACGCATCTGGAGCCGTCCCGAACGAATAACGAGAATGGCGACATTGCCTGCGATCACTATAACCGCGTCTCGGAAGACGTTGATCTAATGGCTTCATTCGGCGTTGATGTTTACCGGTTCTCGATTTCTTGGTCACGCATAATTCCCCGTGGAGGACGTAATGATCCGGTCAATGACGAGGGTATCGCATTTTACAACCGCCTCATTGACTCTCTTCTCGCGAAGAACATCGAGCCCGTTGTCACCTTGTATCACTGGGACGCGCCACAGGGAATCTACGATAATTATGGCGCGTTCTTGAACACCACCGAGTTCAAGGCCGACTTCGAACGATACGCTCGTGTCTGCTTCTCGCACTTTGGCGACCGAGTCAAGAAGTGGATCACATTCAACGAACCATACATCATCTCCATATTCGGTCACCATACCGGCGTCCTGGCTCCGGGTAGAAACTCCTCGAATGGCGGAGATCCGCGCACCGAGCCTTGGATAGTAGGACACACTCTGATTGTCTCACACGCCTCTGTCGTGCGAACCTATGCGTCGGAGTTCCAGCCTTCTCAGAATGGAACGATATCGATCGTCCTGAACAGTCACTTCTACGAGCCCTGGGATCCAGACAGCCCGATCCACATTGACGCCGCGCAACGTCGACAGGAATTCTACATTTCGTGGTTCGCAGACCCCATTTTCCTCGCAAAAGAATACCCACCTTGTATGCGGGAATTCCTCGGCGATCGACTTCCCCATTTCACGGACGCCGAACGTACCTTGCTCCGTGAAACAGCCCATCTCAACACTTTCTACGGTATGAACCACTACTCCACTAAATTTGCCCGCGCACTCCCCGATCCCCCCGCACCCGATGACTGCGCGGGTAATATCGAAGAAGGACCCACGAACTGTCGGGGCGAGGAAGCGGGTCCGGTGTCGGGAATGGCATGGCTTCGGGTAGCGCCGTATGGGTTCCGAAAGCTATTGAATTGGGTGTGGAACAGATACCAGCTGCCGATTATCATTACTGAGAATGGATGTCCATGTCCTGGGGAAAGCGAGATGAGTAAAGAGGAGGCGCTGGACGATCAGTTCCGCGTGAGGTATTTTGGATTGTATTTGGATGCGATCTCAAGGGCTGTCTATGAGGATGGGGTCAAGGTGACGGGGTATTATGCTTGGAGTTTGATGGACAATTTTGGTAAGTTCGGCCAGTTCTTTCTGATGTGCGTAGTGGATGCGGACAGGGTCATGCTAAATGTTCGCAGAGTGGTCAGCTGGGTATAGTCCCAGGTATGGTATTTCGCATGTGGATCGGACAACGCTGGAGAGGACACCGAAGAAGTCTGCATGGTATCTGAAGACGTCTTTCGATGAGCGGAGGGCAAAGGGGAAGAGCATTTCTTGAGATGGATTAGAATTAGAATACTAGAAAATAGATTTCGTTTGCAATATCATAACACTATTGATTTACTATGTACTTTGACCTATTCGATGTAGTAACATTTCTGAATACCGAACGTTTTGCCCTGAAATACATACCCCCGCTCAACCAATTTCTAGATCTATCTGTTCATCCGAGCCGAAAGAACGATATCATATCTTCCCCGCGCCCAACAAGTCCCTGATCCTTGGCCTTCAACATCCAAAATAGATCGTGACCCTTTCCATTCAGGGTATAGTTTTCGAATGGTGGCGTTCTTTAATCCATCATGTTCATTGGCTGGTATGGAAATCGACCGGGATGCGGATCCTAGCAGCCTCTTAGTCTCATCTTTGCGCTTCTATCCAATGCCCTTGACATCTCATATATACGGCAGTTACCACATGATATGCTTCTGGCGCTCAAGCTATACGCCTCTTTCCAGTTTCTCCAGCCCTGTTCGCCTTTTTGGAGAATTATAATTGGTTACTCTGTCCCCGTTCCAGACCCTCCTATGTCGCCCAGCCCCTTCCACATCGTATGATATCAAGACTAGCCTGATGATTAGACGAAGTGCAATTCGATCATAGTGTTACACTCGGCTATTACATGTCCCCATGGGGAATGACGGTAATTGAACCATTCGATAGGGTCTTGAATATTTGGCGACTGGTGCTTAGTCCGGCTTAAGCCGGGCCTCGGGAGCAGGGTGTGGTCAGCAGCAAATCTACCTACGTGAAAATGTCCCTCATGCTTGCAACAGGCTAAGAAAACGTCTATCAACAAGTTCCCATTGCTTTGTGTTATGAAAGCCCTTTTCAAAAACATATTCTCATCTATTGCCAGACAAAAGACTTTTGTAGTCAAAACTGCTCTCGCAGTCTATTCAATATTCTGATAAGTGTAGACCTAACATCGCTCTCGAGCTCATTAACTTTCGGCCTATAATCCTCCGGTCTCTTCTCATCCTTGGATATTCTGGCTAAGTTACCAACCTTAGACTAAACCCATGTCTTTGTACCGAGCATGCTACGTTGGCCCACGTTCTTTGTTTCATTGGACAAATCGAGAATCCGGGGACCCCGGACAACTGCATTCTCCCCCAGGCATATTACAGCCTGCTATAGCCAGTTATCTCGCTACCTTTTGCCCTTACAACACTCCGGTCCAAGTTACCCCGAGGCAAAGACATGACGCTATAGCAACTAAGACAAGGTGGCGCTGCTAGGGTTTGATCAAGCCATGTCCTCGTGTTCAATACACAGGTCAAATGCCGACATCTTATTAATATATTCTCCATTATCTCTCAGAGTTGCTGTGATTACGCACAACCCAGACTAGCCGGCCATCATGAAATACAATCTCCATCCCTCCGTGAAGGCTCCGCCTGTCGAACATGTCGAGTCTGTACCCGAGGACCTCAAAGCATCTGATGCGGAATTCGACGCAGCCGCGAAAGGTCAAGCGCCGTCCGGATATGAAACCCTTGGGGTCATTGACACGATCAAGAAGTTCAAGCTATGTACAGCAGTTTGCTTTGCTATGGCCTTTAGTGCCGCGACGGATGGGTATCAGATTGGGTTCGTCTATCCGCGCGTTTACCCTGATGCCTACCAGCCATTTTCCACACGCACAGCATGCTAACATATGTTTTATTCAGCATCAACGCCAGTATCATCGCGAACTCGGGATTCGTGGATCGTTTCGCCACCGAGATCGGGAAAGACGGCTCTCCGGCCCTCGCGTCTCCCATCCTGAGTGGCTGGAGCTCCATCATGTCCTGCGGTCAGATCCTCGGCATGACCAGTCTCGCCTTCATATCTAGTCGCTTCGGTCGCAAAGTCGCAATGTACTTATACTGGCTCATACTCGTGGGCAGTGTCATCGCCGAATGTCTCGCCAGGTCGTGGCCCGTATGGTTAATTGCCAAGTTACTCGCCGGAATGGGCGTCGGCGGCGTGCAGTCGACTGTCCCAACTTACATCTCTGAAGTAGCGCCTGTTCGGATCCGCGGTGGACTGTTGATGTGTTATAGTCTCTGGTGGACGTTAGGATCGTTCTTTGCGCAGGTGGCGCTACAGCATCTTTCACATACCCATCCAGGAAACTATCTCACCCCGATCTACACCCAGTGGGCACAGCTTGGACTCATGTTCCTAATCTACATCATCGTCCCCGAGTCCCCTGTCTGGTGCGTGAACGTCGGGAAGTACGAGCGCGCGAAGAAACAGCTCCGTACGCTCTACCGCGGCGTGACCGACTACAACCTCGAGCAACAGTTCCAGGTCATCGTTTTATCCGTCGAGCACGAAAAAGCCGTCGCTGTCGAGCAGCGTCGCGAGAAATGGTACTCTATTTTCCGCGGCACGGACGGTCTTCGTACCGTCATTTCCCTATGAACGAACCTCTCGCAGCAATTCATCGGACTGACCTTGTTCGGCACCTTCGGGACGTATTTCTTTCAGCAAACGGGACTGGAAGATCCATTTAAGATTAAAGTTATTACCTCGTCGATCCAGATCGCAACGGTCTGCGTGCTGATCCTGGTCGCGGATCGCGTCGGACGACGTATCTTGGCTTGTTCTGGAACTACTCTGTCGTGGCTTTCTTGTCTTGCGATTGGGGTTATTGGTGTTACGAAGAGTAGTAATGCTTCGACTTATGTTTTTGTTTTGTTTGCTTGTTTTTGGAGTATGTCTCCCCCTTATGTTTCTCTTCTTTTCCCCTCTACTTCCTTCCCCTTGTCTAGCATCATTATGCTAACATGACGACCTGTGTAGACGTCGGATTAGCAGCCAATGGCGCCACCGGATGGGGCTATATCGGCGAAATCTCCTCACAGCGTTTGCGCCCTTATACGGCTGGATTTGCGGCCGCAGCGACATGTGTGATCGGCGTGGTGATGAACGTGCTGGTGCCGTACATGACAAACGAGAATAAGTGGAACTGGGGACTCAAGACGGGTTGGTTCTACGTGGGCGTCGGATTCCCGTTTACATTGGGGATGTGGTTCTTGATTCCTGAGACAAAGGGGTATATTTTCTCTCTTGTTCACCTTTTCAAGACTCTTGAATATGGTTGAAAATGGTATATACTGACTGGTATAGGCGATCTGCTGCTGAGCTGGACGAGCTGTTTGAGAGAAAGATCAAGCCGTGGCAGTTTCATAAGACGGAGACGGCTACGCAGACGCTGGTGCAGATGAATGAACTGAGGAAGTGATCAAGAAAGGTAAATATTGATAGATCGGTTTATTAATATGATATGGGGTCGAGGGGTGTGGTGGTAGCTTAATTAATTCATATCCCAATCCCTGCAATGGGTACTGAAAACCACAATAAACTATGAAAAGATCAAAATACAAAAATCGTAACCGTAAAGACAACGTATCAAACGCATCAAGCAACTCTCCACAATCTCCCAGCAAGGCAACACCCCTAGACAACCTCCTGGTGTATACTTGACGACGCCCTCTTCTTCTCATCCACATCCATAATCTCGACAGCTTTGCTTCCCTCATAGTCGGGTCCGTCAAAGATGACCGCCATCTGCTCCAAACTGTATCCCCTTGTCTCCGGGTAGAAGAAGTAGGCAGTCAAACCAAACACCATCAGAACGATGATAAACACAATGTAGTATTTCCAAGCAATCTTCTCTAGAGCAATGGGGTTCACGAAAGTATTAAAGAAGATGGCGCAAATGGCGGCAACCCACGTCACTGTGAGACCACGGGAGCGGAGACGGAACGGCCAGATTTCGCAGGGGTATCCGGTGAGGAAGGGAGTCCTATTTGATTTCATAGGTTAGCGACTGGCTACGAGAATGGATTGATTTGGTTTACTCGGGGAATACTTACAAAGCGATACAGTATCCAGCAAAGAAGGTAAAAAGGAATGGAATGACAGCGGCACCTGTGCCCTTGTGGCCGGTTTCAGCGAACGATCCCGACAGCGCCGTAACCAGCACGAAACTGACGAACATGGTACACGCAGAGGCCATGAACAAAGCGCGTCGACCGAGTTTGTCACTCAAGAAAGCACCCATCGTGGCAAATATCAGATTCCACATCTGCATGCACGCAGAGATGAGTGTTTGGTCCCGGACGCTGGTGACACCTACGGTGTCAAGAATCAAGGCGAGGTAGTAAGAAACGACACCGTTACCGGCCCATTGAGAGAAGATGCCTAGAGTGATTGAAATCATCAAGCGACGACGGTTACCAGGAGTCTTGACCATCTCCATGTAGCTAGAGCTGCTGTGGGCCTCCTGTTCACTGCTGATTGCCGCCGTGATCCCAGTGAATTCAGCTGCGACCAACGCTGACGACCGATCGCCCGCAGCATGGTGCTTGATCAGCACTTCCTTTGCTTCCTCTTCTCGACCAACTGAAATCAACCACCGAGGACTCTCAGGTGCGAGGAAAAATCCGGGAAGGGCGATCAAGGGCACGAGCACCTGCAGTAGAGAAGGCAAACGCCATGCCCATGATGAGGCGTAGGTTCGGGAAGCAAATATGACCCATCCTGCAACTGTTCCACCGACATACCAGCCCGACATGAAAAGGGAATTAACGATGCTGCGATGTTCCGGGTAGGCGATTTCGTTAATGAGAAGGGGAACGGCGTTTCCGAACATGGCTGAGGCAACACCGACAAACAGTCGAGCCATCATGAAAGCTATATCGTTGTTTGCGGCAGTCTGGAGAGCGCAGCCGAGGGCCAGGAACAGATATCCCAGATAGACGCCAGGCTTCCGGCCCCAACGGTTTGCAATCCATGCAGCAGTAGGGTATCCAACTCCGGATCCTAGCCAGTAGATGCCGTTCAACCATCCCAGCCACGGACCGGTAGGAGTATCCATGAATTCATTCCATTGATCCAAGGCCTGAAGGCCATTCATGAGAGTGCCGTCGAAGCCGTTTGCCGATGAGAACATGACCAAAGACAGAATGATGAAGTTGAGATGAAGAAGGTGCTTCTGACGATACCATGCTGGGCTCGAAGGAGTGGAAGCAGCGATTTGGTTGTCTCCAGCATCTTCAACACCTTCCTTAGTAGCAGCACCCATTTTGAGATGCTGAGAGAGTGACAAAACGAAATCAGATAGAATGAGTCGGAAACGTGCAGCCAAAGTCCAAATTTTCAGAATTAACCAGGGTAGTGTGACTGCAGGCCACTACTTATGCTCGTCATCACAGCCGACGTAATATCCCGACTCTTTGCCGTAGGATCAAACAAAAGATTAGTCCCAGTCTCTAGTTGAACAAATCGGAACAAATCAGATGATCAAGCCCCAGCATCCACCTGAGTCAGTGAAGCCATTGACAGTGATACCGACCCCCCGCGAACCCGGAAAGTCGGGGACAGGAAACGAGCTGTGGAGACTCGGGGAAAGTTGTGGGGAGTGAAACGACGGAGAAACGGAGAAAAGGAGAAAAGGAGAAACGGACATCAAGATTTTGGGACTTTCTGGCCAGCGAGAGTGAGAGCTGGAGACTCCGTTGGATCCACTCGGCACGGTGGGTCGCCGGGGTAGGTACGGAAAAGCATTGTAGAGAACCACGGGGGCCCGATGGGAAAGAATATTTAGCAGGCTGTCCTACCTGCGAGAATGGCTCAGTAATTGCCATTGTTCTCTACAGCCGTCTTGGAAATTACCTGGGAAACATGTCGTCCGAAATCCACCCAGATTTTCAACATATCGCCGGGGCGGACCTCGATGTGCTGTTGCAGCAGCTCACTCTAGACGAAAAAGTCGCCCTTTTGACAGGTAACAAATCATTCTCAACTCTACTTTCCCAAGGCCTACCGTTGACTTGAATTTTGTATCGTTGTTCAGGCGCCGACTTTTGGCACACTGTCCCGATCCCGCGATTGAACATCCCTTCGATTCGACTCTCCGACGGCCCCAATGGCGTTCGGGGCACGAAATTCTTCGGCAGCGTTCCGGCGGCCTGTCTCCCGTGCGGCACAGCAATTGGCGCCACTTTCGACCGAGACCTCGCGCTAAAAGTTGGTCATTTGTTGGCTGATGAGGCCAAGACTAAAGGCGCGCATGTTGTCTTAGGCCCAACCATCAACATTGCCCGGGGTCCTCTAGGTGGCAGAGGATTTGAATCGTACTCGGAGGACCCGGTTCTGTCGGGAATCTTGGCCGGTCATTATTGCACTGGTCTTCAGGAAAAGGGCATCGTGGCCACCCTGAAACATTTCGTGTGCAATGACTTGGAGCATCAACGCATGGCGATCAATTCGATCGTTACCGACCGCGCCATGAGGGAGATCTACCTTCTTCCGTTCATGATCGCAATTGCTCAAGGAAAACCTGATGCCATCATGACGGCGTACAACAAGGTGAATGGCACACACGCAGCGGAAAACCCGACGATTTTGAGAGACATTCTCCGAGGGGAGTGGGGATGGGAAGGGTTGCTCATGAGTGACTGGTGGGTAACTCCAGCAAACGCGTTATTCTACTTGTGGTCTAACTCTATATCGCAGGTTCGGTTCTTACAGCACCTCGGAAGCAGTTATTGCCGGGCTTGACCTTGAGATGCCCGGCCCAACGCGCTGGCGTGGCAGCGCATTGTCACATGCGGTCACGGCCAACAAAGTGCCAATGGCCGCTTTGAATGCCCGAGTTCGAACTGTTCTGGAATTAATCCAGAAGGCCAGTCGGTCGGGCGTCCCGCAGAATGCACCGGAAGGGCAATTGAATCGGGCAGAGGATCGACGCCTTCTGAGGCAGATCGCAGCCGAGGCAATTGTGTTGATGAAGAACGAAGACAATATCCTACCACTCAACAAGACGAAACGTGTTGCAGTTATCGGCCCTAATGCACAGGTTGCATCATACTGTGGAGGCGGCAGTGCGGCCTTGAACCCGTACGAGGCCATTACACCATTTGACGGACTTTCTGCGTCTGCGGAAGGCGGGGTGGACTTTGCTCAGGGAGTCTATGGCCACCAAAATCTGCCCCTCCTTGGAAAGCGGATGCGCGCCATGGATGGCCAAACAGGCTTCACATTGAGGGTTTACAATGAGCCTCCAACTGTTCTCAATCGCCGCCTTATCGAAGAGCGAGCTGAGACCGACTCGAATTTGTTCTTCATTGACTACAACCACCCCGAACTCCAGCATGTATGGTATGCCGATGCTGAGGGCTATTTCACCCCCACGGAGAGTGGCGTCTATGACATTGGTCTCTGCGTGCAGGGAACAGGAAAGTTGTACGTTGACGGTGAGCTGAAGATCAACAATGCGGATGTACAAACCCCTGGAACGAGTTTCCTAGGCACCGGTACCGTGGAAGAGACCGTGTCAATGCAACTCGAGGCTGGCAATTCTTATCGCATCCATATCCAGTGGGGATGCTCCCGAACGAGCACCTACAAAGTTGCGGGTGTGGTAGACTTCGGTCACGGCGGGTTCCGCTTTGGTGCCTGCAAGCAACTTGCTCCCGCGGAAGGGATCGCGCAAGCCGTTCAGCTCGCACGAGATGTTGACCAGGTCGTTCTGGTTGCTGGATTGAGCGCGGAATGGGAGTCAGAGGGAGAAGACCGCTCTAGCATGGCGCTGCCTCCCCACACGGACGAATTAATTTCTCGTGTCCTAGAGGCAAACTCCAACACCGTCATTGTCATTCAGAGCGGAACGCCGGTTGAAATGCCTTGGATTCATGAAGCGAAGGCGGTGCTGCACGCATGGTATGGAGGCAACGAAACAGGTAACGGTTTGGCTGATGTGGTATTCGGCGATGTCAACCCGGTAAGCATCCTGCCCGATACCTTTAAGACAAATGGCTGACATGGGTGAGCTGCAGTCCGGCAAGCTTCCTCTCACTTTCCCCCAAAAGCTCAAGCACAACCCCACCTTTTTCAACTTCCGCTCTGAAGGTGGTCGTGTGCTTTATGGAGAAGACGTGTACGTCGGATATCGGTATTATGACACGCTAGATGTTGAGCCATTGTTTCCCTTCGGCCACGGTCTTTCCTATACCACCTTTGAGTTGTCAAGCCTGCAACTCCAAAAGGATTCCGAGAAGGATCTGACCGTGACATGCACATTAGCAAACACAGGCTCCCGGTCGGGAGCTGAGGTGATCCAGGTCTACGTGGCTCCTGTAACACCTCCCCTCAAGAGACCCCTGAAAGAACTGAAGGCTTTCAGTAAAGTGACCTTGGAGGCTGGAGAGACCCAAACAGTTCAAATTCCGCTGGACCTTGTGCGAGCGACCAGCTACTGGGATGAGTATACCAGCAGCTGGTGCAGCCACAGCGGGACATACAACATTATGGTGGGAACAAGCAGTCGCGGGGCCTTCCTCCAGGATTCGGTGGAGCTGGGCGAGACTTCCTTCTGGCAGGGACTTTAAAAAACCGCGAAAGCGATGTGATGTGCACAATGTATAATTCTCATAGACTTCAATCTCTATGTAGTCGATCCGTGTCAACCCAAGACTGTAGATGTATCGTATTCATATTTTCGCTTCGGTCAAGACGCGCCAAGATATTGCTGGAATGCTGGAGGTATTCGGCGGCGCGTTGCGCTTCGGGGGCATCGGGATGAAACGGACATGCAAGGAGGCTAGCGGCGATATCGCGCACCTTGTAAGCGAGGTGCAACCCGTTAGCCTCCAGATTCACCTGCGGCAAACTGTGTAGCACGAAAAAAAGCTGCCGACAAAGTTCTTCTCTTTCCCGCCAGAGGGTTTGAGGATCCATGACTGCCACCTCATGCTCCGACTCCGTTGGTTGTACTGAGTGGTACCGGGATTGCGCTGCCTCCAGTTGGTCCAGCAAGAGACTCTGGACCCACAGGTGCGTGACATGCAAATTTGCTCGCATTGTCGCAAAGCCCGATCGACTCCGATCGGTGTCGCTAACCGTAGGGATGTAGCCTTCCATCGGCATCCAGGGTCGTAGGAGTGGCGGTATGTCATCTAGCAAGAATTTCAATGTATGCAACTGGTCCCGTATATATGTTATTTCGATGCCCGGATCGCGAGCTCGGCTGCAAGGACAGGGCTCATCTTTAGGCTCCTTCAGACGGGGGTTTCGGGCAGCGGCCCAGAACACACGAGAGTTGAGATTTAGTCCAGTAACAAGAGAAGGGGTCGATGTATAAGGTGTTTGAATCTCATCTTCAAATATGAACTCGTCATCAACTTCGACGGGCATAAGATCATCGGGATTCAGCGAAAGCAACTGGTAGGGGTCCAGGTACGATAGTCGCTCTCCGAACATGTTCTGTAACTGTCCATGTCTGTGCGGTACAGGTCAGATTCCAGTTTTCCAAGAAAGCCACGATATCTTACATGAAAGCGTAGAATACGAGCCAGAATCCCTTCTTTCGCAGCTGGGTCTCGACGTGGTTGAGACCGGCATACTCTGAAACTTTATGTAGATTCAGCATGCGCGCCAACTGCATCGCCTCTGACTGCAACATGCGAGACCAATTATGGTCCCCTAGTTGCATGAAAGCAGCACAGAACAGATAAGTGGTCGCAAACTTTTGGAAATTGATCTGCTGAAAGTGATCCGGAGTGCGAAGTCCCATGGCTTTCTGATAGCAAGCCCAGACCATTTCTCTCCGCGAGCAGAAGGGCAAGGGGGGACATTTTGAGCGGTAGTCGCTAAACCTACTGGGCATTGCCGCCACGATGTTTGCCGCCATAGCGATTAAGAGGCCGAGGAACCCGGGGTCATCACAATCACGGTCCTCCTCAAAGCGGCGCTGGAAGGACGGCCGATGGACGATCGGAATGACAGGATACATGTACTCCAGGTAATCCTGCACAATCCTCTTCAGAAGCTGCCGCTCACAAATATCGTCCGTGGGATAGGTACGTAAGGGGGTGGGTACGACATCCCCCTCCTGCAGCGAATGCACGCTATGTTCGCTAGTGGGAGTATGCGGACTGTTTCCACTTGCTGCAAGGCTTCCTGCATGTCAGCGGAGCTCATCAATCCGGAAATCCCATCTCACCGTTTCTTGGGGCCCCGGACCTTTGCGGGCATTAGAAAGGTGCATGGTCGATTTAAGCGCTCGCAACGGCCACAACGGGCTGTGACACCAGACTCAGTCCGGACAAGATGGCATTTTACTTTGCGTTTCCGGCATGTATCACAAGCCTGGGTAGTAAGATCAGTCCGGAGTGGCGGGCTTTCCAGCTCCTGAGACATCTCAAGGGAATTTGAGTCGTGGTTCACTTATGACGACGCGTGGTTGGAGATGTTGGAGATGATTGCCTGACTGGAATCTACTTCGACCTCCTGCCGTCTCCGGCATCTTCCGATCACGTGCACCCTGTTCCCCGTTGTGGCCGCGTGAGATGACTAATCCGCTTATATCATCGCCTTGCTTGACCGGACCGATCATGCAACCGATCAATATAAAATCGTATGATTTATGACGATATAGATCATGCAATTCCGCTCATTTTATGACGATCCTGAAGCCCTGAGACTGCATAAATATTGGCTTCTTTATCGTGTAGTTAGAAAGAATTAAGACCTTCATTCAGTTGAAAACGATCCTATTCCTTAGTTGAATAATCGCTTCTCGGTAGACCCACATATTTCTGCCACACCCGTGTCTGCTGACTCATGTTCGGCGCCTTCTGCGAACAGGGCAAACAAGACAAACACTTTATAGTACAACATCGTCCTCCGTACAGCTTCTCAACCTGACTTTTGTATAATTAGTAGCTTCTGTTTTCCGGAGTAAACAATATTTTTAGGGTTTCTGACTCCTTCCCTACAGTTTTACCGCGACTGAGCCCAAGTACTCGAAATACTAAGTGGGCTCCATCATGGATATCTATATTTTGTCCCGCTGGCTCCCTTATATTCAAGGCAAAGAAGAAAGCCAACTGGAAACCAAATGCTTCGTGCAAAAAAAAAGAAATATATCACCGTGATCTTTAGATAAGCCCTAATATTGTACTCCAGTCCCTCGATTTTGTTAACCTCGCTCAGTAAGAATGTCCCTTCGTTTGTTCGCTGCTGACTTCCCTCACGGTCTCAACAATAAGCGCGTAATCGGCTCGATTCGCTCAACTTCAAAAGGAATATCGGGCCTCAGACCTTCTAAATCCGCCTCCACATGGGACGCCAAATCTATAGCGAGGTAAATATTAACCTTGAAAGCTGGAACCCGTACCGTAACCATCGGTCTCAGAAGATTCGCTAGGCTGGGGCCATAGGGTTTATACCCGTGATATTCAGGACTCAAAGAGACTACTAATTTTTGTAGACCCTGCATGGTAGAAATCACTTCCCATGCGCGTGCCCGCACAGACCAGGAAACATCGGGGTAAGGCTCAGTGTCTTCATCTAAGAAGAAAACGGGGATAACTGAGGCGACGACATGTAATTGTCGAATGGCATTGAAGCGATAAGGGAGCATAACGGGAGGTAACAAAGCGATTGTGTTCTCATCAAGACTGAAAAAGTTCTCGGTGTAGAGGATGTTGATGGATTCGTCATATCTACGTAGCCATATTAGATACAACAAAGGCTGGTGTTGGAACGATGTTGTCAACTAGACTAGAGAGGTGGAGTATCTTGACCTAATCCACATACCGCACAGCACCTTGCTTGGCCTAGACTTGGCCTACCATTCCAAATGACATACCAATGGATCAGGAATGCATAGGTGTAAACAAGTGGAACTATAAATGGCTAGGCAGATTGTAGTTTAGAAATGACACTTCACTTTTACCCACCGAGCATATACCTACATTCTGTTGAATCGATAGGATGTTTGCTTAGGGCAATGACCAAATCAACCGACAGCTGGTAGTGGCCTGATGAACTCACATCCTGCGGCAAGTACACAGAGGACTGGTAGCAGTTCGAATTCGTTCGGACTTTGAGGGTCGTCGATTTTTGCGTTTTTTCTGTTTTCTTTAGCTGCTCTAGGGCATAGGTGCCCAAAAGGTAGCTTGTTGATCTGCGACTCGTGGCATTGAGTAGTGAATATACGGCCGTAGTGGTTAACTACATGTAACTCCGTGCCTGTCGAAGGTATGAGTACAAACTTGTAGATCAACAGTCTGACATCCAAAGAGAGGCGATTGAAAAGAGCGGATTCCAGTTGATTCTTGTGACGGTTTTTGAACCTATCGAGAATGCTTCTAGGCGGTGGAGGCGTCGGAGCACGCTTGCGAGTCCGCGGCAACTCATGGACCCTAACTGGGCCCTGCATGATCTCTTTGATCTGATCTCATGGGCGGGTGAAAAGTAAAATAAGCAGAAGGCCTATGTCGGGGTCAGGTAAGACAGCAGATGTCATTTTGAATCAACCAGAGGCTGAGAAGAAGGGACTTCAGCCAGTAAAATATATACGGAGCGTAAAGTCAGCCTTGCTTTGAATTATTGGCATGCATCAGCCCCTCACCTGGCAGCGTACATAATTTGTTGGCCTCGGATACAGATCTCATAAGCAACGCGTTGTTAGTGAAGATGAAATCCACGAATCAATGCGACCGACTGCGGTTATTAGAGTCAACTCGGAATAGGTTCTCCCAGGAGTGGAAGTGTGGTTCTGCGCGCTTAATACTATGGTTTTGATTTAGTATTTGCTCTATAAATTATATGTTTTGATTGTATGTACAACATTATTCTAATGCATCATGGCTCATGTAGCCGTGGGCTTGAATGCTAGGAGAAGGAAAGGACGATGAGGTCGGAGAATTCGGGGGGTTAATGATTTCAGGAGAGTTGAATGAAGGCTCAGGCTGTGATACCGTCGGTCTTGCTTCTGGCACGGGTCGTTCATATAGGAAGCCTCGAGGGGACACAAAGTCCGTGGGATCGATTTCCAAATACTCTGCCTCCTCCCACTGCGTCAGACACGTTTTCTCGCCGTTTGCCAAGCGCTGCGCATTCAGCATGGTACTGTACACGAGGTCTTCGGAGTACGCCTCGTGCCAGTCATCCCCTGTGTAATAAATGTCCGAATCGCGCTCGCTGGATCCAGTCTGTCTCCAGGTCCCGATCAGCGGGGGATAAGGTGCTAGACAGCGGAAGTTGTCGCCTGGGCCTGTGTAGTCACACATTGCCCCATACGCCACATCGACAGGATCATTCAAGGGAGACATGGAGAGCTGAGCGAGAATCTTGCGTGCGCCGTCGTATGTCACCGCATATCCTGCCGTACAAACTCCACCAACGGCGTCGAAAACAATACGAGCTTGTTGCAATTGGCTTTGGTCGACTAGTCCTGGATGTTTGAAATCTGAGCGACGAGAGACGGGTGGTGCAGTTGGGTCATCGGGTATGATATAGAAGAGACGCTCGTCTTCTCGAGATTCTATTCCACAGAACCCAAGCCACAACATATCCCAGTCATCGCCATAGGGTGAAGGTGTTCCTGGTGGGTTTGAAGGGCTTTTTCGCCCGCCCCGAGTCCACTTATCCCGTTGGACTGCCCTTGTGCCGCGGGCAAACTCAAGCATCTGGGCTTTCAGAGTTACATCCCAGTCGGCGTCGTCTTCTAGAATAAGTGCGCTACTAATTTTATCCGCGACAATTCTAAATAGTACGACCGTTAGACTCTAGGTTCTTTCACACGTGGCGGCTTGACACTTACTGCTGCAGGGCGTCCATATGAGCCCGCCAGCATCCCAGCTCAACAGGCTTCTCGCGCTCTATTTCCCATGTCTAATCACATCAGCACGTGTTTCACAACGAAAAGGTGAGAATACTAACAGCAGGGTATGCTTTCTCTGGGATTGAGTCTAACGTAACTCCCTCGACCCAGTCAAGATCTATGCCCACGAAGGAAGCACCCATGGTCATCGCGTCACGCTTATCTGTACGGTCGCTGAACCCAATAGCAAATATTTTCTCGAACTTTTTACTCTGTATATTAGCACCCGAATCTGTGAAAGATAGCAAGGTACATACGCCAAGAGTGGAATTATGAGTATCCCCGAGTTCACCTTGGGAGTTAGTCGCAGCTCGCTGCCGGAAAGTCTCCGGACTCTGTTTCGACCATTTGAGAAGAAATGCATGGTAAAGCAGAAATCCGAGCACTGCAAGTGGAAGAGAGACAATGCGACGCATAATGTCAATTCTAAGTGGATTTTAAACCAAATAGTCCTTGCGTACGGGATTTTGGTGAAGATGTGGTGAAACTAGGACTCATATTGTTTGATTAATTTTTCTCCTGAGACACTGTTCGTTGGGTCGGTGTAGGCGGAACGCTCCGAATAATAATATCCTCAGCCGCGGGAATTAATGCGGCTGGAACGTGGTTTTTCTTTCTAGACGGGGCATACTGAACGAACAGTTTGCTGATCTTAGGATTTGCAATTTCGTTGGAAATGGGGGCCATATGGCCGGGCGCTCGTTAGAGAAGTCACATTCCAACATGGCCCTCAATAGGCGTAGACCATTAGGGATTAGCCCCAAAACCATCATTAAAACCTAAAAGATACTCTAAGATGTCATGATTTTCTCGCCCCAATAATCCGAGCTTCAGCTTACTGTCTCAGAGTTCTCAAGCTCCGAAACCTGCTGATGCCTATTCTAAAGCGGCCCCCAAGCTTGGCTGTCCGTCCATACCCGAGGCCCTGAATCCACTCCGTAGGGCGGTGCTGCAAAGGATTCGACTTCTTGGACCCCAAAGACGTCCAAGTTCGATCAAATGGCAAGTAATCTCCACTACTAGGCTGACATTGTCAGGCCACTAGTTAATTCATTGCAAAAGGGCACTGAAAAGTTATTTATTAGATATAGCTGCCGAGCGTTTTTATACTAGATGAGACCCCTTGCAGTGATACATCTATCCCCTTGAGTATTTACATTACTCATGCCCTTGCTTAAATGAAGTCCTTTATCTTCCGTCTAAGATCCCTCCATGCGAACCGAGCGGTCGTATTCTATGCCAGGTGAGGCAGTCCCTCCGCGGCTTAGGGCTACATCATCCCCGTGATTCTGACGACACCCATAGTCTTTGGATGTCACTCAATGTCGTAGTGACTTTGTACAACAAACACGTCCTAACGACCTTTAACTTCCCGATTATTCTCACCACATGGCACCTGGTAGTCACCACACTCGGCGTCAAAGCCTTGGCTATGACAACTCCGTTAGGGGATGATCTAGCAGGATGCACTAGCATGCACGATCACATTCCATCCATTTTACTGGTTGGACTGGCCTTCTCCCTAAATCTTATTCTGAACAATGCAGCATTCGCATATTTAAGCGTCGCCTTTATTCAAATGTTCAAGGTACGCTCACTTCAAAATCATCTAGCTCCCATCTAGTGCTGATCTATCTTAGACAATTAGCCCCGTCGTTGTTTTCCTCGCCGGCTACCTCACTGGCCTCTACTACATACACGCGCGCGGACTTCTAGTCGTCTACACAATCTGTATCGGGGTCACTCTCTCCTCATACACAGAATCAAACCCTAACCTAATCGGCATAATCATGCTCTGCGGCGCTATGGCCTTCGAGGCTGTTCGCCTTCTTCTCGTTGAGATTCTTCTCTCGTCGCGCAAACAAAGCCTTAACCCGTTCCTATCGCTTTACTATTTCAGTCCGGTCTGCGCTGCCTTCTGTTGTATCTTCGCTGTCCTCTTTGAGGCCCATCGGTTCTCGCTCGCCGCAGTTACAGCCACGGGCTTCTGGACGCTATTCGGAAGCGCTCTTTCTGGCTTCATGTTGAACGTCTCGGCTGTTTTACTAATAAGTCGCAGCTCTGCACTAACATTGTCGATATGTGGTGTGCCGAAAGCGATGGTGACTGTTTTTGCATCCACGGCACTTCTGCATGAGGTTGTCACTCCGCTGCAGGTGGGCGGGTTTGGGATCGCCAGTCTCGGTCTATTGGGGTATGGTTTCTGTGATGTTAAAAGGAGACGGGGTGATGTGGACGGATATACGGAGTTGGTTAGCGAGAAGAACATAGAAGATAGTAGAACGGAGAGCAGTACATAACTGTGTCTCGTGAATAATAAAAATACCATATTATCAACCTTTAAACAGTACCTGTCGGTTGACTTGGTCATTGCCCTAAGCAGATATCCTATCGATTCAATGGAATATAAGTATATGCTCGGTGGGTAAAAGTGAAGTGTCATTTCTAAACTACAATCTGCCTAGCTATTTAAGGGGCCGCTCGGGACACACCCTTCTGGCTCGGGGCACACCTACCTCCGCTCGGGGCACACCCCCCAGTCACGTGTCAGCGATAAGATAAGAACTTTGAGTTCGAGAGGGGGGGGGGTCCTTCCTAATTCGGAACGAAACGATTAAAGAGTATATCTATCTTATACCACAAAAACAAAGATACGGAGTTTTATGCCCATATAAAGGTTGTTAAAAAAAGACAGGAGAAGAGATTTAACATAGTTTCAAAGCATTTCAAGTTAGTACATCATACATAGAGAAAAAGTGATCAGTGATATTCGTAGTCCTCTTTATTACGTCTAACGTGCCTGATCCTTCTTCCATATCGAGATTTCTGGCTCATAAGGGCTGCAAGGGGGTCAGGCGATAAAGAACGGACAATAGAGCTTGCAGGCCGCCTATCACGCTTGCGAGTTACGGTAGAAGGCGGAATCAGATTAGAAAAGGGAGTTTGCTCAGAGATTTCCGTAAAATTATAGGTTTCTTTTGCTAGCATCTCTGTGGGGGCGTTATCTAGAACTGCGGGTGGGAATAAAGGGATAACTGGGTTATTTCGTGAGCCAGTTGGCCTGCCAATTCGAGTAGGATTCTCGCTGACAAGGACCCTTTCAAATTCAGATAGCCTGCGCGCAGTTCCAGTGATCCGATCAGGTCGTAAGGCGGGTGGGAATCTAATTATATTATTAGATGATCCCGAAGGTCTTCCCCGAACAGAAGAAACAATGAGAGATTCAAGAATCATTACGCGGGGGTCAGGGAGAGGCATATCCTTTAGCAAATATAGATGCTACTGCTTGTAGAAGTTATCTAACTTTAGGGACTGCTGTATCTCGATACAGCGCTTGATAATATGAATGCAAGGGAGGCCTATTGTTACGCGCGTAAAAGCTTTATAAATATCAGGAATAGGACGCTTGCTTGCAAGGAAATAGCGCTCGTAGTTCTGCCGAACCAGCGTTAATGCCTTCTGCGATATCTTCGTCAAAATATCACCAAATAAGAACGTTCTTAGGAGAGTTATTGGCTTAAATCCTTGCTGAGCTTGACGTGCTTTATTGCACTGATCATGGACGTGCGTAATCGTGCGGTTAAAGGACTGAATAATGTAGACATGATCAGCAATATAGGTGCCAAGGTCCGATTTAAACCGTACATGAGCTCGTTTGCCGCGTGAGGTTGTCCGCAGGCTAATATAGAAGTAGGAATTGGTAAAACACTTGAGAATACGCTTTTTCGTGATCGCATTAAGCCATTCCTTTTCAATATAGTTTACTAACGGGCCAAAGATCTCGCCATTATACAGGTCTTTGAACCTTTCCAGGCCTGGTCTGACTGTTCAACTGTAGGGGTTTCAATAACATTCCACCACTCATTCAACATGAGCTTCTAGCGTGCGTGGACCTCTGCATGAAATGCTTTTATAGCATCCTTATCCTTCGGATCTGGTGCAGTATCCATACTATCTCGAAGATCTTTGCGGAAACATATACGAGCTTTAGAAAGGATGTTCTGGTTCACATGCGAAAGGCATATAAGAATATCAGTTGTAGGAAAGACCTCTTTACATGCATTAATAAGTGCCTGCTCTTTATCCGTAAGAATCGTCAGTGGTGGCCGGGCTGCAAGATAGGTATATATCTTGGCTAAGTTCCGAATAGCGAAGTCATATGATGGCTGCTTCTCATTGTGCACAAAGGCGGATCCCGCGTAGAAAGTATAGCCTGTAAACGTAACTCCAGTAATATCTAGAAGTGGCATCTTGTACTTGTTCGTCTTGTAAGTATAATCCATAATAAGGATGTATGGATTGCGCTAGAGGAATTCAAGGCAGCTTCGATAGGTGCAAAAGAGGCCTGTTAAACGATTATCTCCATCTAGCATGTGGTTGAATAGCCAATTTCCTTCTTTTGGGAGAACAGTCAAGAGTGCCTGTATTAGAGGGCGACTATCAAGGAATTCACGATAAAGGTTTTGCTATAGGTTATAGATATCCCGTAGGATTAGGTCGTTAGAGTCATTCTGCTGAGCTGCCTCAAGAATCTGACGCGGGTGGACACCAGCATTTAGTTGCGCTATAATAATTTCAAGAAGCTTTTTTCTCTCCCGGATGCGAAGGCGTGGGACTGTATATATTGGTAAATCTTCATGATTATGACTAACGTTTTTGATCTCCAAGATATACGTTGTTCTTTGTCGACAACGAATATTGGCACGGAAAGGACAGTTGGCACAGCATGTATTAGTTTGTCGGACCCGATTCTCTTCCCTAACTCGATCTTTGTAGGTGCCGCTGCGGTCACAGTGCAAATACTGAACTAATATCTCATTATCTTTGGGATCTCGTTTTAATATCTTGGTTGTAAGCGCGTAGCCGTACTGCTTAGTAAAATTATCAAGGAACTCTCGAGCTGCGGCGTCGGATTCAAATGAACGATCAGTAGGCGGAGGAAGAGGGCTAACAAAAGTATCTTCGAAAGTATCTTGGTCAGTATTAGTAGGTAATTGCTCAATAGGATCCTCTAGTAATTCCCTAGGCGATTCGCTAGAGAGATTGAACGCGATTTCAGGTGCGAGGGCATTCTCTAGAGGCGTTATACGTTCTTCCAGGATATCAACGTTATTACCGTTAGGAAGCAGCACTTCATACTCGTAGTCAAAGTTAACGAGCGCATCAAAGAGATATCTGTTGCCATCCATAGTGCCAGCAGCGCAGAGAGCGAGGTTGTAGTAGAAGTAATAGAGAGATAAAATCAACAAATATTCTTTTAAGTTCTTATCTTATCGCTGACACGTGACTGGGGGTGTGCCCCGAGCGGAGGTAGGTGTGCCCCGAGCCAGAAGAGTGTGTCCCGAGCGGCCCCCGCTATTTATAGTTCCACTTGTTTACACCTATGCATTCCTGATCCCTTGGTATGCCATTTAGAATTAATGTAACCATAGGCCAAGCAAGGTGCTTTGCGGTATGTGGATTAGGTCAGGATACTCCACCTCTCTGGCCTGGTTGACAATATTGTTCCAACAGTACCTTTACAGGCTAACTATTCTAGTTTTGCTAACGTAATCCACGGCCGAGCCGTCCACTTCCCCCGCAACCATCATGAATTTGAAGTTTTACGACTAACAACATCATTGAATCAGACTGTATGAAATATAAAATGAATAGCTATTTACTAGGGCAGCTTCGTATTGTATGTCTCTCACAGTCACTGCAGCGTGGTGGAGCGCGTTGGCGAGACACAGGTGTAGACTCATCAACCTGCTCATTAAGCTGCGTATCAAGCCGCTGAGTGCGGTCACGGCCTTCCTGTACAGATATAAGGAGATCATTTCCTAGTGACGTGCGTTTCCTTGCATCTTTCTTTATTTTTCGCTCATTTTCAGCTCGTAGAACCTTTATTTCTTATTGAAGAAGAAGGTTCGTATTCATTGCCATTTGCGCAGCTTTTTCAAGATGTTGAATATGAGAGACTGGACTGCTAGAAATTGTTCTTTTCTTTTGAAGACTTCTTTGTAGTCTTTGAACCTTACGATAAATCTGGCGAGAGTTCTGAGGTATTTGAAAAGCCGATGATATTGAGCCTCCAGTAAGTAATGGTAGTGTTAGTGTGCGAAGTTAAAAGGTGATTTTCTCAAGAACTCGGTCTTGATCAAGTGGTTTAAGACCTGATCCTGCAAAGTCACTGCATATGTTTTTTGAGTAAAGACTTCTTCACGTGCAGAAGGATATAGGTGTAAAAAATCCCCTTTGTTAATATGGTTATTTCCAGCCGCCATCATCTCCTCAACTAGTTTTTTGTATGCGCATTTAAGCGGTCCAAAAACACCAACATCAAGTGGCTGAAGAAGATGAGATGTATGCGAAGGCATACAAAGACAGATAATTACATTCTCTCTGCAGAAAGTATCAAATTCTGCAGATTGATGACTTGAATGACTGTCAAGAATAAGCAACCGTTTTGCACCAGTTGAATGGTACTTAGAAAAAGGATTAAACACTTGCGATAACTACTTTAGGCCTATTTCGTCTGTTGTCCAGCCATTGGTACTATTGGTAAGCCTCCAATCTAGAGGAAGATTAGGCTCTTGATACCACGGAGCCTAATGTTCCTTCCCTTTTAAGATAACCATCCCTTAGAACTTACACATTCAATAATTGTCACCCATTCGCGATTGCCTTGGATGACTCTTCGAGGTCTTTCACTGCGCTCCACTGCAGTAATAACCTTAAGAGGTTGTACAGAGTCCCATTGCAAAGCCAGTCTCATCAAAGTTCCAGATATCATCTTCATGTATGCCATGTTCTTAAATAGCTTCGCGTATAGTCTCAAACCATAGCTTTATTATCTTTGGATCCTCTTGCTTTGCCCGCTGATATGGAATTCTTCGATTGTATCTTGAACGTAGCTCAGGGCGGCATTTAATAAATGAATAGGCCCAGCTGACTCCAAGAACTGCAGTCGGATCTTGTGTATGCTCGCGAAGTAGTCTACGCCATTCCACGTAGAAATTCGGGTCAAATTGAAAAGCCTCGTTTATCTATATCTAGCAGTCTTTTAAAAAGGACTTCTTCTTCGAGACCTGATAAGTTATGGCCACTAGCGCGTGTTTCTGATCGTGACTGAATTCCATTGAGCCGATCAAGGAATGTGGTCTTTGGCATTCCAAATATTGCTGCAGCCTTTGATTTTGAACGAATTTTTTTGTTATTGTACATAATTATTGTCATTTGAATTCGATTTTCTTGAGATAATGGCATTTTGAGAAATGGCGGTGACTAAATGACGCGTTAAAATATTGAAATATGATTATTGGGAAGTTGCGGGGAAAGTGGACGGCTCGGCCGTGGATTACGTTACACACTCGGCGAAGATATGATCTATGAGTAGTAGTGGCTTTCTGAGCCACATATTATATTTTGACCGCCCATATAGTCCGAACATAACGTATCCGGTAAACGAGCGGGCCACGTAAACGAGCGGGCCACCTCCGCTCCATTTCTGCCCGCAGGCTAAATATAAGGGCCTTTATCAACAAAACAATTGCATTTCTATCTAAAAATCAATTAGGAACTCGATTAGGACATTGTGATCGTCTATGTCCTAGAATATGACAATCACTGCACCGCGGGGGCGCTCGTACGCGTGGCCTGACTGCAGGAAGTGCAGGATCTAGAGGAAGCGTATTTTGAGCTTCATTAACCTCATTCTCGCGCTGAAATCGCTCTAGGCCCCCCTGAATGGCTGATCCCTCCGTAATAGCTAGCTGCCTAGTAGAGCGTCTCCTTTTTCGAAGTTTCTTTTCATGAGAAAGGCGTAATTCGTGGATTTCTTCGCGTGCAAGAATAAGCTCATTAAGATGTAATTCATGACCTTTAATAAGCTTATCAAATCGCGTCTCCAGCGAAGACGAAGGGCTCTGCGTACGCGCTTTAAGCAGCTTCTTTGCTGTAGATGCCTGCTTCTCCAGCTGCCTAGTTGTATAGGGCGTTTTTGGCGCTGAATTGGTTGATCGACTACCTGATGGTGTAGGAGACTTTAGTTGAATATTCAGCTGACTGAGCACCCTATCTGGATTGAATGGAACTAGGCCAGCGCCTGCGAAGCTATTCCGAATAGTATCTGCTTGAAAAGCGCGTTCGCGAGCTTGTGGAAAGGCCTCTAGGAAATCGAGCTTGTTAATATGATTGATTCCTAAGCGAGCTTGCTCCTCTATTAAGTCTCCGTACGCCTTTTTTAAAGGCGCAAACCAGCCCACATCCAAAGGTTGAAGCTTATGGGAGGAATGAGCTGGCACACAGATAGGAATAATGTTATTCTCGCTGCATATCTGATCGAATTGAGGCGTAAGATGACTGCCATGGCCGTCAAGAATAAGAAGACGATATCTTCCAGTTGTACGACCAGTAGTAGTAGGAATGAAGAGATTTGAAGCCAGCGAAGGCCTATCTCATCAGTAGTCTATCCATTTGGACTAACTTCAATCCTACTATCGCGTGGGAGCTTAGTATCTTGATACCAACCCTCGATATGGACCTTCCCTTTGAAGATCACACATGGAGGAAGCGCCTAACCAGTAGAGTTAATACACTCGATCGAAGTAACCCATTCTCGATTGCCTGGCTGTACAAGAGAGGCCTTTCCGTAGTAGTCAGCTCTAGTAAATACTTGTGCAGTAGCTACTAGGCCCATAGCGAAGCCAGTTTCGTCAAAATTGTTGATATCTTCTTGTACGATCCCGTGTTGCATTATCGTGATTTGTACGCAGTTAAACCACTCTTGTATAATCTTAGGGTCTTCGCATTTAGCACGTCGATAATCGTAGCGTCGAGTATAGCGAGTCTTTAAGCGATCTTGTCGCTTAATAAAGTTGTATATCCATTTCTCCCCGACTGATTGGATTGGTGTAGTACCATGTTGAGCGAGTAGAATATTAGCCATTTCTCGTATATGCGAGGGCCGAGGAGGCGCTCCACGTCGATCTAGCGATAGAATCCATTGTACAAGTGATTCTTCTTCATTTTGAGTCATTTTATGATTATTGGCGCGTGTTTCTGCGCGATAAGTATGGCCATTGAGTCGTCGCTGGAGAGTTATTCGAGGAATATTATAGACGCGTGCTGCTTCACAAATATTGGGTATTTCTTGCTTATTTAAAGCCGAGATAGCAAGTAAGATTCTCCCCTCCTGTTCTGCTGAATTTTGAAGATTTTGACACGCTTTTGGAGGCATGGTTGGTGGTTGAATTGAGGGAGGTTTTCGATCGGAGCCAAAACGCGTGAGGTGACCCCGCTCGCTTACGTGGCCCGCTCGTTTACCGGATACGTTAACTCTCGTCTCACTTACCGTTCGTTCCTTTTGAAGGAAAAGGAGATAGAGATGAAGGAGACATCTAAAGCGAGAAAAACATACAACAGCAGGGATTCGCTGGTGGTCATCCACCCAACTACTAACCTGCCGGCGTGTGGCTTAAGTACGGCTGAGCGGACGGGAAGCCCTGTTCTCCACACCCTGTGGTCGTATGTATATGACATCTCTAAATATTGGCTCATAGAGAGCGTTAAAAGTAGTCCCATATGGCTAACCAGGACTGTCGGCCCCAGTCGATATGTTGGCTATCGCTCGCGCCCTTGAAAGGCTCAAGCCCTACTTATGATAGCATCCAGTGGCTGCGGAGTGCGTCCAGGAGACCACTAGAGAACATATTTCACTGCTAGTTTCCTGTATGATTGTTGATTTGTAATACGAGGGACGATTAATTGCTCTTAATCACTTCTATGGAACCGAGGGTTTATTTAAAGTCAGATTAAATACAGATGTAATTAAGTCTGAATAGAATTTTATACGTGTCTAGAGCTATACTCGCGGTATCGATTGTCAGGGAATCCAGTCTGGTACCGTCTATCAAAAAGACTTTCAAGTAGACGGTAACCCTGATCGCTGGGCATTGGAATATCAATTCCATGCCTAGAAAACCCCAAAGTTTTTTATATGGACAAGGAGCGGAAGATTGCTACCGACTGTATATCATCAGAGGGGAGAGTGTAAGGGTTCTAATCGCCGCTTATGAATTTAATAGTTCGCGATAGAGCCTCTCTTCAGGGTAGCCGAGATTCGGTAGAAGCATCGAAACACACATCACACTATATCGCAGTAGTAAACATCCACTCGCATAGACCAAAGTAATATTCTACCCACGCTGATTCCAACGCTATGGGCAATGGTTTGTCCTAATGTTTTGTTAAAGTATTCAGCGTGCGGTTCGACTAATCTCGGGCCAACCACAACGAGAAAATACATAAGGAACCGCAGCGTGTTTCAGTGCAGCCAGTAAGTGGATAGATAGACAGTCGGAGTTTTATATTTGAATTCTTTAGCTATGCTACAAATTAAGCTCCAATTTTATACACCTAGCGATCCAGGTGCCTAGACCATGCTCAGATTGCAGCAGTCTTATATAGACTGACACTGAACGTAACAAGAAAGAGGAAAATAAATTGTCAAATTTAAAAAAGTAAATACCTTATAGTTTATTGATAAGCCCTGTATAGTACATACGACCACAGGGTGTGGAGAACAGGGCTTCCCGTCCGCTCAGCCGTACTTAAGCCACACGCCGGCAGGTTAGTAGTTGGGTGGGTGACCACCAGCGAATCCCTGCTGTTGTATGTTTTATCTTTTTCGAAAAGAATATTTTTAGTCTATTTGTTATACATTTTTGCTTTGTTTGATTGCATCCATGAGTGGATAGGCTGGTGGTGGGAATTCTTCTCTACACATTATGAGATGATAGTATACCCAATTGTTTCCCCTGCCTAATGAATCGTTACTGAGGGAACACCTTATATGATGACTCTTCCGTTAAACTTGCGATACCAAGGAGCCGAGGAGGAGTATTGCAATGCCCAAGGCATCCGAGTTTACATGCCCTTCGGTAATCCTAACTCTGCCAGGGACTCGGTCAGCCCTAACCTGACCCAGTTATCAACTTCCTTCGTCGTGGCCACCGCAATCACCCCCAGCATACCCAACGAATTCATCCCGGCCTCCTTATTAATCGCACCTCGTCTTCTCGGCAACACGACCATCCACCTCTTGGTGAGAATCATGTTATGCGGACAGGCCGCTTCGGACGGCGCACTCGCCGCATGTTCACCACGGTCCTCGCCCACCCGCGTAGCCTGGCCCAGCAGCTCCTTATAAACACCAACCAACGCAGAAGACGTCAGTGTCGTGTCCTTTTCAAACCGCCGAAAGAACCACTTAAATGGAACCTTCGTCTCGGGTACCTCCCCTTCGACAGAATTCAGAAACGCCGCGAAACTATTATCCGGCAAGGGCATCACCTGCAGATGTTTATGCAGCCGACTACATCCGCCATCTCGCCCGCAGTTGTAGAAAACAACGTAGTCGGTCTCAGCGGCGTTCAGGATCCGCCACGCAATGTGCAAATCGGCCTCGTCGAGCGGCTCATATTGGCATCGGTATCCGTCACCGGTCAGAGGCATGAGGTAGGGTTGCGCAAAGCAGAACTTGTTCACGGTTATCAAATGGGTGTCTGTTTCGTCAATTTCAAATCCGGTGGTGCTGATATCGCTACCGTCTCGCTTTTCGGGCTCCTGACTGGTAGTTTCGGGCTCGGGCTGTGAGTAGGTAAGGGTGGGCTTTTTGGCAAGGTCAGAGGTAAGGACGAATTAGAACTTGAGAATCAAGTTAGCATGTGCTTGGTTTGAATGATGATTGAAGGAGTTATTCTTACTTTGAGGTTGCCGTCAATATGCTCGATGATCTGTTGTTTGTCGTCATATAAAACGAGGCCGGATTCGACAAGGCGGTCGAATTTGGAGAGAATCAGGGACTCATCCATGGCTGGGGGGATTCTTTCGATTGTGGATGGTATTGGAATGAGGTCTATAGTCTGAGTGGTTGTAGGAAACATGGAAACCCAGGGAGTTTCATCTTATAAACGGAGCATTGCCTAAAGTAAGTGGAGAGTGGGATCTTAGATCTGACAGATAAGGAACCATGCCAAGTGGAGTTTGAACGTAAAAGCTCACGACGCCGATCACCCTGCCAACTTTCTGGCAAGATTTATATCTAACAACATTTCTAGTACTGTCAAGGGATGCCTGTGCTCGTTGTATACGAAGGATTCAGATCCCTGTCGCTCGTCGTAAGAATCAATTGCGGAAGACCGGTTCGGGCAAGCCGGAAGCGAATCAGCCCTGAACTAACTTGGAAGGTGGTCGTGCTTAAGAAATACTCCCCGACAACAGAAAGAAGAGTTTGATGTCGCGTACTTTTTTTACAGTCATTGGATGAATACTAACAACTCTCCTAGTGTACCGGAGGATGTTAAAAGACGTATGGAATGCCGAGTCAGTAGTACCTCGAAATTATCACTTTACTTATCATAAGTATGAACCCCTCTTTAGATCCACCAGCCTTGTGAAATTCACGCTATATGACGCTATCCTCCGCCTTACTACACAACGAGCATGTGATATCTCATAGGCATTGGGTTTATATGGCGTACGGGCTCGAAGTTCTGCTTCATTCGGCGAAGCGCCTGCATAGCCTGTCGTTTCAATAGATAGGCTCCACCAGGTTAATAGAATTTTGATTGATTGATTGATTGATTGATCTCATAGGTGGCCTGTAGTGAAAAGGCTTGAGGCAGTCGGGTTGAGGCTTAGCTGTCTTCGATGCTCATGGCTAGATTATAGACATGGTATTCGAAACTCGGAAGCCTTCGCAATCAGACCATGGAGATATGACCATTTGATATTCCCCTCCTTTGACTAGAATTGGAATTTCGTAATCTAAAGCAACGCAACATACAGATGACAACATCTTATTGTTGTATTCTGCGATGTTACATTTTTACTTTTTTTACATGGACTTCAATAGAAACACGATTTCCAAGATTGAAAATGCTTAATACGTGAAAATACAGGCCCACGGACAGTTTAGAGCAATTACAGCGGTCTAATAATAGCACGTCTTGGCTTTCAAGTCCCTTCAAATCTCCTTTAAAATCCCATCTTAACCCGCCCCCGGAGAATCGCAAGAACTGCGCGAATTCGTTGACAGAAACCACCACATTGGGCTTTCGTCCTCGCTACCTTGTTAAACAATATGAATACCCAGGAAACGGAACGTGAAAGACGCGATGCAACTGAGGATGAAGTCAACATCCTACCCCATGTAGTGGACTCGATCCCGTTCATTGTTTGGATAGCGCTTGTAGCCGGTACATCGGAAAGATTCACATTCTACGCCGTCTCTGCACCATGGAGTAAGATTCTAAAACCATCAAAGAAAATTCCAACGGTTGCTAACCGCCTACAGAGAACTACATCCAAAATGATCGCGACAGTACCGCTGTCCCCGGAGTTCTAGGTCTCGGTCAAAGAACTGCGACCAATATCTCAAGCGCCTTCTTTTTCTTCTCGTTCTTGGCCCCTGCCGTTCGCTATCCTTTCGGACGTATGGCTAGGACGATATAAAACTCTGTGCATTTCCTTTATGTGGGATCCGCGAGCCGTTCAGGTACCAGTTGAAGCTGATTATCGGCAGTCTGAATCTCCGTGGGTGTATATTTCACTTTGTTACCTCGCTTCCAGTAATATCTCAAAATTCTACCAAAATTTTTGGATTGGCTTTTGCAATGGTCCTTCTGGGTCTGGGAACCGGGGGTGTTAAAGTTACTGTCTCCCCATTTATAGGTGATCAATACACAACCTCGGCTCCACAGTTGGTCGTCACGAAGAGAGGCGAGAGGGTCATCGCCGACCGCACGTTGACCCTGCAATACATATACAATATTTTCTACTGGTATAGAACACCTCGTTGCAGATCTGCTCATTGCAGCTGATACTATTGAAGGCTCACCAATATTGGAAGTCTCTCTTTGATTGCCTCGACCTTCTTGGAGAAAGAAGTTGGCTTTTGGGCCGCTTACCTCCTGCCATTGTGTTCTGTCAGGGTTTCAATCCATTTGCTATTATTTAGGCAGAGATCATATGGTAAGCGAGAAGTGTTAACTTTCAGTTACTTGATTACAGAGGTACTGGAAGTGCTGAACTTTGAAAAGTCAAAATCACACCACAGGGAAATGTTTTGCCTCAGGCAGCCAAGGTTCTTGCATACTCCGCCCGAGAACGATTTCGCCTCGAGGCGGCAAAACCGGCATTCCAAGCGGAGAAATATGGCCGATCCGTCCCTTGGGTTAATCAGTTTGTCTCGGAGATCAAAAGGGGTCTCGTAGCCTGCAAAGTCATGTACGTTGTCGTGCCAATCGGTTGATTAGGCTTACTCGGTTACTAACGTTGAAACTAGGGCTTGCTTTGTACCTTTTTACCTATGCATGAACCAAATTACCAACAATCTTGTCTCGCAAGCAGGTCAGATGCAGCTAGGCGCAATTCCCAATGACACGATTCAAGCTCTCACCCCAATCGCTTATGTTCTGCTCGGCCCAATCATCCAAAAGCTTCTCTACCCCGGTCTTCAAAATCAGGGGATCGCATTCGGGTCAATCGCTCGCATGACCTGATCGTTTGTCCTGATGAGCTCGTCGATGGCATTTGCTGCAGGGTTGCAAAAGCTGATCTATACACGGGGACCATGCTACGAGTCCCCACTGACTTGTCCGGATTCTGACGGAGAAAGAACACCCAACAATATCAGCGTCTGGGCGCAAGCCCCTGTCTACTTCCTGCCTGCATTTGCCGAGACCTTGGGATTCACCACCCTGTCTGAATACAGTTACTCGAAAGCGCCTAAAGACATGCGCAGCCTAGTGCAGGCCCTGCGACAGGTTACCGTTGGGGTCGGATCCGCTTTGGGGATAGCTCTCTCAGCAGTGGCAGTGGATCCGAAGGTGATGTACATGTATACGGGATTGGCGGCGACAATGATTGTCGTTGCTCCGGGTTTCTGGGCGGCCTTTAGGCGTTACGACAGGATTGACGATGAGTTGAATGGTATTGGGTTAATACAGCCAGATGAACGTGACGAGATGGAAGAGACTACGTCTAATACGCGTCCACGAGAAGCGTATTTTCAAGGTCACTCCATCTGAACATATATCGTAATAGTGGTTTGTATCTAGTAAAGTTGAATTCTTTCCGTTACTTGATACTAGACGCACTGGAAATAGGGAAATGTTTCGCCTCAGGCAGCAAAGACTCATGCGTACTCCGCCCGACAACGATTTCGACCGCATTCCAAGCAGAGTTTTGACCAGATCGCATAATAATCATTACCCAGACAGTTTGGGGCCAGAGTACTCCGTCGGACTCTCGGACTTTGCCAAGACATCCACCACACTCCGAATGCAATGAGATCCAGATTTGAGTACCAGAGAACTGCGGCGAAAGAACGAGCACTCATCATCCCCGGGGTTTTTTATAAATCAATCAATCCAGATGAATAATGGAGGACACGAGACAAGATATAAAGCAAGCAGCGCTGCTGCACAAACTCTTGTCCCTTCCTCACTCAGAAATCATTCAATTCCAAGATTGCAAACATGAAGGAAGCTCTCATCAACAAATCGCTGACCGTGACGGTCCAGGAGACCGACCGGTCTGTCCCTGTACCTGGTCAGATTCCCATCCGTGTGGTCGTCGCCGGTCTCAACCCGAAGGATTGGAAACTGCCGAGCTGGTTCCTGGGGGGCCCGCCTTCTAATTAGGGTGATGACATCGCAGGCTACGTCGAAGCTGTCGGTGACGGCGTGCTATGATTTAAGCGCGGTGATAAAGTGGCAGCCCTGTACTAGATGTTCACTCCACATGGCGCGTGGGCCGAGTATGCTCTTGCTTGGGAGCATACCACCTTCCATCTGCCGGAGCAGACGAGCCTCGAGGGTAAGGCGATCTGACCAACTATCCTCATTTCTTTTGGTGTTTGACTCTGGTTGGCTGACACCCAATTTCTCGTCTTCTAGAGGCCGCGACGATACCTATAGCGGCAACAACCGCCGCGCTCGGCCTGTACCAGCGCCTCCGTCTTCCTCTGCCCTGGAGCCCTACCAAGGAATCCCTTCCCCTGGTGATATACGGCGGTTCCACCGCGATTGGCACTTTTGCGATCAAACTGGCGACTCTCTCCAACATCCACCCTCTAATTGTCGTGGCAGGAAAGGGAGCCCCTTTCGTCTAAATGCTCATCGACCGCGCCAAGAGCGACACGATCATTGACTACCGCAACCAGAGCGATGAGACCCTTAAATCCCAAATTACTGCCGCCGCAGGGGGCCTGCCCATCCATCACGCCTACGACGCCGTCGCGGAGAATGGTACTACCACCCGCATCCTAGGTGCGGCTCTCACGGCGCCTGGAACGGTCGCCGCAGCGTGGCTGCCGAAAGAAGAAGAGGTAGCTCCGTCGGGAATCCAGATCGGTAATCTGATGGTGAATTCGGTGCACGCCGATCCAGCAACGCAAGACAATACTGCCAAAGATGATCGCGAATTTGGGGCTGTCTTTTCTGGTTTCTTTGGTCGAGCGTTGGCGCAGAAGTCGTTTTCGGGCCATCCCTTCGAAGTGCGCGCCGGCGGATTGCGTGCGATTGAAGGGGGCTTGAAGGACTTATAGGCGGGCAAGGCCTCGGCTGTGAAGTACGTCGTGCGGATCGAGGAGACGAATTGAGTTTTCCGGTAGTTAGCTACCTTTTTCGAGTCTTTTTTGTGTCTCCGTGGAATGCAAATTGCTTTTTAAAATAGACCCAATGATAGAAATGGGCTCGACCCCTTAGCTTTTGAAGGCTGTTGGTTTTTTATGGATGGCAAATCCCATCCGGTAAAACGTGAAGCGGGCGTGTCCTGTAGTTGCCGAGTCACGATTTCTGTCCAGTATTGGTTTAATACACCATTAACAATCCCTATGAGCAGACGAAATCAGTCTCACTCGGCGATGTGGTCGAGACAGCGCTCCCACGGTACTTCAATGCGCCAAGTCAGCCGCTAAACCATCTCGTCCAGAGAGATATTGCGAGCTATCAACCAAAGCTGCATTTGGACCCCATGATTCAAATTCCCATCACCGAGGATTAGGAGTAACCGTGGAATATTGATAATCCAGATTTTATTACGGATCGTCCCATACGTACAGTGACAGATGACGTTTCATTAGGCAATTCTTGACTTGCATCGAACCTTTGCTACGCGTCTGCTTTATATGGAGGTCTTTGATTCTTTTATATAGATGCTCGACTAATCAGATGACTAAAGTAAACCCGTAATAAGGAGTCTGCACTGCGCTAATGTTCAGAATTCGCTGCTCCCGCGATCGATGCAGGACCTGGCAAATTCAAGAAAGTTAGAAACATCCCAAGCGGACTTTTGACTGCCCAGCCCGGTCACACCAAATAAATAGCCCTCACATTCAAGCATCTGATCGTGATTGACCCTCGCTCTCAACTTTCCGTTGAGCTAGTCGCACCTTCCTCCACTCTTTTGCACTTTGAGCGCTCCGATCCCCGTCATAGGGAGCCAGAGTATAGGGAGCCTTTGGGGAAGCTTCTTCGCTGTCAACTGGAAGGAGCTCGATTGCCGGCTCTCCACACGGTTGTTCTTTATCATGAGTGGTTGGATTGTTTGCGGGGCGAGATCTTTTGTGCGGCGGTACATAGCCACTTCCTCCTTCGCGGTCATTAGTAGGCTCAGACAGGGGTTCCAGGGGCGTTGTTCACAAAAAGGCTCACTGCCATCCTGCGTGAAGCTGCTGGACAGTTTAGAGTGTAGATAGCTATGGAACCATTCTTCATCTTCGGGCAGCTTTGAAAATATCAATCTGACTCCTCGTAGGATCTGGAAAATTGGCAGAGATTCACTCAGAGTCATGATGTAGTTTTGGGCAAGCGTGTCGAGACCGCATATGCCATACTTCCTAGCAGCGTAGTACGCCTGGACGCTTCTCTTGTATTCGACCCCAACGCGATGTGTCGCTTCTTGTATCTCCGCGGAAGTAATTGTTTCATATTCACCTTTGTAGATGAAGTGTAAAATAGTGTGACCAATATCCGAGCTGATATCTCCAAGTATAATACGTGGATTCCCAGATCTTGGTTGAGATAGTAGGTGCCCGGATGTAGTTTTCTGGAATTGAATAGTTTTTGTTTCCGACGGCCACGATGACAATCCTTGATTGTTCGTACGGACTATGGTCGACGTATGGTACTGTAGTGTCCATACTGTAGTAATCTTATAGGTTCTCCGCTGATGGTCCCCGCAAGGGATCTTGCCTAATGCCTCCGCAACATTCTTTGATTCTAATTACTTAAACTCCACAAACTTCAATTAGCATTCTCAGCTGCGAGCATTCCTAGGCTAGGGAACAACAGTACTATTCCCTTTTTTTCTGACTGGTAGGGGCGTGAGGGATAAAATATGCTCGTTAGCTCAGCCAGTTTCTGGCGAAATTTTCTTTCTATCAACGAGAATAGAGCTTCTATACATTGCTTAGCTAGTGTGCTTCACTCAAGCTCATCGTTTAAGAGATACTATCGAATACACTCATCTTCAAGGCTAGAGATCCCTTGATCTACGAAGAAAGCTAGCGTGTTAGCAAGGCCGGCATGTGCAAGGGGTGCACCTATTGCTCGGATAGCATGCCTACATTAAGGTAGCCTTTTGGCATGCGACCTGCTCATGCTTCGTCTGGAGCGTTCGCGATTATTTTCGTTGGACTAAAAAATTTAGACCCTTAGTGCCCTAATCTTTCCCAAAGCTGTACGATATAAAACTGAGTTCTTCTCGTGTTTACTAGTTTCCGGATTCTCTGACTTTTAGGTTCTCTTGAACTACATCCTCTTATCTACTCTATAATCAGATGCCAGATTGACGTTGTGCGACAAGAAGAGTCCAACAAACTCTGAAGTAAGGGAAAAGCGGCCATGTCTTTGACGACAAGCTCAGTAATAGACTACAAGCAGCCGGAGATATCGTAAGTCAACTCATGATTGGCCTGCTTTTGATGCTTGCTAATACAGTATAACAAAGTCCCCTTCGTTTCATTTCCTCGGTCGTTTCCCTAGACGCCTTTAGTCCTCTATAGATGGTACTGTACAGTAACGGATTTTGCTCAGGCACATCCTCTATTATTATCCCTGCAAGTCGGAAATGCCCTTTAGCGCTTTGTCCTTTCTCACCGACATTATCATTTCCAGGTTCATCGTCATAGACTCCCAGTTTGTTTTAGCCATTTACCCCTTTATTTTATGTACAGGCGCACCCGAAAATATCTTTCTACCCTTCACACTGACAAAACGTTTTCTGAACCCTAACCTAAGATGACGCTAAGCCGAATATAGCTCGCGGTTACAAAAGTGGGTATTTACGTGAAAGGAACGATTTGTATCAAACCCGTAAATGTCACCGAATTCTTGGTATCCCAAACGTCATGCTGACGAGATGACCCTGAACACCGCTTTCCTAAATAAACATATTTTGATCCAAACTGGTCGACATTGTTTGAACCTGGGTAGGTCGTTTTAGAGTATTCTCGATTTCGGAAATATGATGTACATAGGGATCACGGCTCCCAGCCCTCTTTCGACAAAGAGATTAGAAGATAAGGAGAGTTGGAAGATGATCATTAGACAATTGGAAATATAGCAAGTAGGATAGAGATGAGACACGTTAGTTCAACCACAAAAATGTCAAGCGGCCTGAATCATGTCCAAGAACCACACTGTTGCCACTGGTAACCGCACATGTCGCCCGATAGTCTGGTGGAAGCCAGATCAAACGCTGCCCGTTACGAGTTACCCATTTCTCACAGACAAATATTTAATTCTCTTGTCGTTCAATGAGGGGGTTAAGAGGTTGGTGGCTCAAATAAAGTGAGCCGCGGTCAGTAGTGAGACAGCCATTAGTTATGAATGACAAGGTTTTTACTACTATGTCTAATTTACGTTTATCTTTCTCACTGCCTGTGTTCAGATCCCAGAGCCGCACGGTGCGATCATCAGAGGTGGGCGCGACTGCCTGCCCATCTTGTGAGAAGGCCACTGCGGTGACTAAGCTCGTGTGGCCGTGTAGTACTTGCGTGCATGGATCCCACGCCTCTTGCATGACAACTGCATGTTCTAGAAAATCCAACTGTTCACCCCAATAAAGCTCCTTGATTTCACTAGCTTGTGGACAGAAGGCAAGTGCGGCGCTATATACTTGTAAAGGTGCCTCTTGTATGATAGATGTATAGCTAGTTGCAAATCTCTTAACTTCCTTGAAAAACTGCTTGTAACCAGCAAATTGACTAGAGGCTGGCAAGGTGCAAGCCCTCCGTCAAGTATTCTCCTTCTTTTGATGGTATGTTCATTAAGGCTTGGTTGTGTGGCAACTTCCTTCAATTTTATATTAGACGGGTCTTGTTGAGGAATACCGGAATCCACATACCTGCTGTTGGTTGACAACTTTCCTGAGAGCCAAGATTCCATGTCGCATCTCACCAATAAGACTAAGGCTCTCTAGCCAGTGAAGCAGATGTTTCCTGAAGAAGTCCGAAATTGCATTAAGCTGGTCAGCAGATGTAAAAATAGCCTTGAGAAGATGGTCCAGCCAGTACATGCAACTATATCGCAAGTCCAATAACGGGTTAGTATCGGGTTGGAAGGTTGCTTTCTTGGATCACCCGCATCTTAGGCTCAGATCACCCGCATGCCATGGCCTCGTCCAATACCCTTGTCGCCTGGGAAACAGCAGCGAACCAGCCCTCTAAACGTCAGGACCAACAAGCTTCACTAGACACACCTTTTACTCAAACTCAGGTGCTCGCCTACGCCGGCGACTATATTAAATCAGGTTCAAAGCCTGTAGGCCGTAAACGGCGAGCTGTACTGAACTTTCTGCGAAGATAATTATTCGTGATTATAGCCTTGTATTCTCCTCTCCTGGATTGAACCAATGAGTTATGACTATGGCGAGTCCAGGCATTAGCTTCCTATTTGTCCTGCAGATCTAATTACTCTTATAGTTGTAACTAATACTGCCTGGTACTTGATTTCCTTTCAATCACGAATTCGTGCAATACATCGACGTTTATGGCCAGTGGGCTGGGATGACAAAAGATATAGCGGGTAATACCTCATAGTGGTCAGCGGCTCTTCTTGTCGCCTGCGTCACCAAAGAGGTTCGCGACACGGCCAAAATAAGATCCCGATTTCTAGGTCGAAGTTAAATAACCAACTTTCAATTGAGACATTTTTCAATGGCTGGAAGGCGTATGCAAAGGTATGAAATACATACGCCGTTGCTGAATTCGAGTAAACAAATCGGCTAAGTATATCTAGCCCTCTTGTTCGAAGCAAATTGGCTATTCAATATAGTGCCTGGAGTACATAAATCTCGCTCTTTACAGCCAGTAACTAAATCAAATCACAGCACGTCCACTCGATGGGGACTTTGCCGTTTTACAGCATGCGGCTACCCTAGTCTAGGGCGATTCATCAATAGACTGACCGCTATCGCCCAGCCGCTGCAAAGCGCGTGAGACTTCCATATCCCAGTTGCTCAAAGAGACAAGCACCCACTGAGCCAAGGCGGCCGCATAAAGTGCCGCACATTGCCCAATCCACAATCCAACCAGTCCATAGCCGCGTCTTGACAGCCAGATGCCCAAAGGCAGAGCACTGCAGTAGTAACTAATAAAATTGATGATGGCGCCAACGTGCTGCCTTCCCATTGCCCTTAAACACCCACTGCAACTTCCATTAATACCATCAGCAACTTGGAAAAGCGCAACATATGGCATAACCCGGGCTGTCAAATCTATAACGCCTCGATCATCACTGAAAATTTTCGCAAAATGGTCCTTCACAGCCAGCAGGGCCAACAGGACAATGCCTCCCAGGAAGATACTTAGCCAGATTGCTGTTTGGGCAGTCCTTCTTGCACCGCGTGCATCTCGGGCACCTAAGAGATTTCCCACAAGGCTGGTGGTAACAACACCAATTCCAAAAGGAATAGTATTTATAACTTGGTCAGAGGACATGATAACGCTTTGTGAAGCGAGAGGGATCGCTCCCAGCCAGCCAGCGGCGATTGCAACTATTTCGAAGGCCCACCATTCTGCACCCACATGAAGAATGCCGAGCACTGCTAAACGTGTGAATAGGCCAATATTTCGAAATGCCTGCTTATTCCAACCGCCCCAGCATTGATGGCCATCTATGCAGACAGTATATAGCAACAAAAGCAGGAAGCACACCCAGTAGGATAGACCAGTTGCCAGTGGAGCACCCCACAAGCCGAATCGAAGGACTATGCAGAAGAGGTAATTTAGACACAATCAATAGGACGTAGGTACTAGGCCGAACAATACCTATGTTTTTTCCATTTAGCCACCGGTCACAGTGTATATTTGTCACAACACAAGTTGGAGATAGAAAGACTTCCACATACCTTGTGCCTGAAGGTACTTCTTCATGATCTCGAAGAAGATATAGCCGATCCCACCCGGTATCAGTAAGGTTAAGAATTTGGCAGCATCCCCACATAATCCTGGTTCCTGTCCCAGGAGCTTGAGGATCGGTTCGGAATTGATCCACAAAAAGCACACCGGCAAATAAAGAAGACCCAACACAAAGAAGGCTCTCTGCACGAGGACTCCCAGGTCGTGCTGGCTCGAGCCTCCAGTAAATGCAGAAGAAGCTAGAGTATCCAGTGCTGTCGTCCCGCCCAATCCAATCAGCAATCCAGTACAGGTGGCAAACATGTACGAAAAAGCTGCGGCAGAGAGGTTCTCCGGTGACAGGCGGCCAACAACGGCTAGAGATATCGTCTGGAGGCTGTTCTGTAAACAGTACGTGATAATCACTGGAATCGCCCCCCCAGCAAGCTGGGATATGTTGCCACAAAGCTCTTTAATATGATATGATTTTGTATTCTCACCACCCTCGCTATCCAAGTGATGATAGTTGTTTGGTGCAGCACCCCGTCGGCCGTCAAGCAGTGCGGATCGTTCATCCACCTGGCTCTGAGCCGGGGCATCAGCCGGAGTGAGGCCGGGTATGAGGCGTGCAATGGACATTGGGAAAGTTATTGTCGTGTGATTTGTAGAAAATGGATTTCCATCAGACAGGAAGAAAAGGGCTTGGGAAATTCTTTTAATTCCGAGACCTATGCACTAACCACTAGGTGGCGGCAATACCAGGTACCAGTGCCCTATTTTGCCGCATATGGTTATATTGCCGCAAGCTGGTCTAGTAACGCGCATATGTTTTACGCAGCCATTCTAAAGTGCAGGTTGGCCAAACAAACGAGAGAGCCATGACCTGTCCTCAATACTTGCTTTCCAGTCCAAATAATTCTTGGTGAGATGATACCTGCTTGTCTACTGTTTGCGCTTCGGAAAAAACTCGGTGGTCCGTATGAAATTCCGCTTTCCGGCACATGATTTGCCGCGCGTCATCGACTCATCGCACACCGTCGCACACTTACCTTTCTTTTCATAGAGAATATTTGGTCATTTGATCAAAATACTCCATTTCTTTTAGCAGAACAATCATCGGAATCCGCCTTGACGACAAGCGAATGTTGGGTGAGAGTAAAACGAGGAATCGCACTTCATGTGAGACTTGTAAGACGTCGAAACGCAAGGTATTCCGATTTCTTTCTGGCATTTCTAGATGTTGAAGCAGGCATGGGCGGGGGTCTCGGTCCAATCACGGCTAAAGAGCGAGAACCTAGTGCGATCGTAGTAAATTGCGTTGCTCACGCTGCCGAAAACGAAATCCTACCTACATTCCATCGACAACAGCAGAATGGAGGGTTGAAAAACGAACAGAACCGGCCATCGGATACAACAAAGCGATGTCCAAGTCCCGGTAACAGCAGCTGGTGCTTTCCACACACATGAGGGTTCGGAGGTCAATGGTGCTCTTGGAAGGTGATCTGTTGAGCTCAGCACGACTCCTGTTTGTGAAGCCGGAGACACATCCGGAGGTCGAGCAAGAAGCCAGGGAAAAAATAGTTTACAATATTTTTTGAGGTGATGCAGGTACTAGACCCTCTATGTATTCACAATCTGTAGATCCCGCCCTCCCTTATCGCCGACGGACAAGATCACTTCTCATAACTGCTGTTCGAAGACGACATTCTCAGACGCTTCACTTCTGCAGTTGAAGGAAGTCCTATGGATCTTCGGGTTCCAATTTTACGGTCTGTTATTTCCGTGGCTGTGGAGTGAATTCGTCGACTGGATCGCTCCCGGGATATCTTTTGATACCTCATAGACAAACAACTTTTGGCGATTCCTAGCTGCACTGTTCTCCGCCCTTGTCTTTCTTTCTCAGTCGGTGCCGTCAAACTGGGCATTGGGAGATAATCTAGCGGTAAATACTGCGGATCTGGCAGCAGCAACTCGAGAAATGGAGCAGGATACATGCGTTAGTTCGTCCACGGCGATAACAGCAGCCTGCCACGGGAGAAATCGCAGCTTCGCGATCTCCTATCACCCCCAGTTGTTCTTTTCATTTCTTACATAGCGCTCGATGACTTCGCAAACCTAAAAATTTACCTCGTGTGTGCAAGCCACGATACGAAATGGTTTTAGTACAGATCTGGCTCTAGATGAAACCTTCCTCTTTCTTGTTTTCTGGTTGAGATACATTCATACCATTGCAGTACTCCGCGAAGCAATCAATCCATTCTCTCATCGTGTCCCATTATTTATGTATTGCATCCACGCGGAACATTAATCTTTCTGGTAGAAATGTGTTCCTCCAAGATATGGATTCTTTCTACGGGATCTCTCAAACTGCTGGATCTACTCTATCGTCTAGGGTGGCTTCGCTGCTCCCCTGTTGAAGCCTTGACTCACTCACTATACTTAGGTGCAGAGAGAATAAGCCTCAAAATTCGGCTTTGCTTAGTACTTCGGATATATAAATAAATCAAACAGCATGACGGTATACAGAATGACCTCAATAATATTACAAGTCGTTGATACATGCCGACCTGATTTCTCTCACACGTTTGGATAGTGAAAGTGCTCAGTCTACCCGGGTTCGCTCTGCCGTTGATCGAGCTCTAGAACTCTGCCCTGCCGTTCAGGAAAAGGCATCCGTGGCGAACTGATGCTGTTTTCTTTGGTCACGGCCGACACTTACATTACCAGTCTAGTCCATCGTTCATTCATCCGGAGACGGCTCGAATTATTATAGAACGGATATTGCAATGTAAACGTAAAGCGTACCTTGGTAATTTACGATGAGCGGTGGCCTTCGGGAAAATCCCTCAAGCTAGCCTCCGTGTATCATTTATTTTGAACCATGGAGAAATAAAATATGTTTGTCCATCTCCCAACGTCTTCACCTTCTTACAGGTACATGGATCATCCATTGCAGAATCTCGTACACAATCTGACTCACTGCAATGCCTGTCCTCTCTGCAGCATCATCATAAACCGGGGAAAACTCAACCACGTCTGCTCCGACGATTTTCACGTTTGCCCTAGATAGACCATTCAGGATCTGCAGTAGCTCACGGGTCGTCCAGCCACCAGGCTCGATAGTACCGGTCGCTGGTGTAAATGCTGAGTCCACAAACATCAGCAAGGCCTACTTCCCAAGATTCTCTCAGCGGGATATGGTTCCATACCTGGGTCTAAGACATCAATATCGATGCTTAGGTATACTAATTGATCACCGACGGTTCTCACAATATTTTCAACGACGGCCTCCAGTCCCAGTACGTCAAGTTCCCGTGCGCGAATGTATGAGAAGCCGCATCGGGCATCGTTGTCGAGGTCATATTCTTTGTCAAAGAGCATGGAACGAGAACCTAAATGCATGTTGCTGTGGTCCGATAGGAGACCTTCCTCGTGTGCAATATGCAACATACTGCCGTGAGTGATCTCAGCATACTTGGTAAGACCACCGCCCAATTGTTTTGGGTCCCATGTATCAAGGTGGGAATCGAAGTGCAAAACGGCGACTTTGCCCCATACCGAGTGCATGGCTCTGAGGGCCGGGAGAGCTGTGTAGTTCGACATCTTAGTCCTGGTATCTTCGGGTAAAACATGCGTTGCCACAACTTACTGATCGTATGGTCACCACCAATTGAGACCAAACGTATATGGTCTCCCTTGTCAGTGTCTTTTGGCTCGCGAGCGATAATTTGCTTCCATCCACGCTCAAGCTCTTGCATAGCCTCCAACTTATCAAACGGCGTGTTTGAGATGTCCCCGCAGTCGACGACTCCAGCCCAATCGCGGAATGGATTAACGCCGTGGTCCATGCTAGAGGGGAAAGAAACATTGTGAGCAACGATTCTATCACACTGTGATTGTATGGTTCAAAAGGACAATGGATCATGTCCCCAGCGGATATTAAGTGGCTGCTCACCTGTATCCCATACTCGGGGCCAGTCGACGTGCTCCCATGCGTGCTCCTGAGGGTCCAAACCGAGCACCAGGCCTATACGTGACACCAAGGTCAAATGGAGCACCAACGATGCCGATGTCAAATAAGCCGTCGTTGTCTCGGCTGAAGCAATTGGTCCAGTTCAGGTGAGCGAACGTGGCTATGCCTTCGTAAGGCGTGTCATCATTGAAGTTATCCGCAATATCAAAATCATCGGTTGGATTTAAAAGAGTTTCCTGAAGCCGGCCAAATATGCTTCTCTCAATGAATGTCTGAGGCTTTCTCGACAATGGAACTTGGCTCGTTGGAAACGATGTAGAGCACGTTAGCAGTGCGGCAATGGCGAATAGACTCGCCGAATTGCTGAAGTGAACCATGATTGTTGCCGTCAGCAGTTGAGGACTTTGCTTTTGGTGTGAGCAAATGTTGGTGGAGGTGGGGTGTCTGATAAAGATGAACAGGCGGCGCCGCATGAAATCATCAGCTCTACTCTTTTACGGTGACGACAATTTCGTCCAAGAACCATTTACCATTAATTAATGGATCCAGGCAGGCGGCAATTTATCCGAAAGCGGCAAGCCGTAATTGGTAACATTGCCGCGACTGTAGGCAAAGAACTGCTGGCACCTTACGTCATTTGAGATACTTTCATCCCGTCTTCAATAAACTGCAGACTGCCTTTATTGAATTTGATTTGGCTGAGAGCCTGACTTTGATTAATAAGGGATCTCACCCTCTAGCCGGTTGATAACTTGTTTGCAACACCCAACCCCTCTTGACCTCAGGAAATACGAAATTCGTCTGAAATGTAGCATCTACTTATCCTCCGTATTACCTGGTCAAAAAATGCCATTTTACGCGGATTATAAATAGGGCTGGCCGATTTGATGTACGTAATAAGGTGATCAGAGAATGAGCAAATGACTGTATCTCTGAATTCAATATCACTTGCGAAACTGATAAGCACACCGCACCTTGGGACGGTGGCAAGAGATCGACTGATCAGTTACCTGCCCCTGTACGGTTTACCCGATGTGTGCGCATATTTAGGCAAATATAGTTAGTGCAACCATCTTGCCCTGATGATTCGCCGATATATTAAATACCTAGAAATTGAGACGCCAGCGACCAAAAACCCTACCTCTTCCACTCAAATAGATCTTCTTGTTTCAGGCTATTCATACTTTAATCAGCATGCCCGCTACTGAAGCGACCCCACCCAAACGCTCCCTGCAAGTCTCCACCACTGCGGGAGCTATACCAACTCAACGAGAAGTACAGCGTTGGTGGTGTCACATCCATGCCAACCTACTTCTCATCTGACAAAGGCGCTTACGTTCAGGTACGCTCAGATAAACCCCTTTTGTCTGTACAATAACCGCTCATATAGATTTCAGGACTCTGAAGGAAATGACTTACTTGACTTCGTCTGCGGCTTCAGCGCAAGCAACCTAGGCCAATGCCACCCGGCCATCGTCGCTGCGCAGGTGAAGGCCGCGGAGATAAGTGAGTTCTTTTACACAATTGACTGCTTAATCAATCCGCCATGATATGGATGCGGCTCACTGAGTCCCACTACATAGTAACCCTCGGCAATATCGCCGGCATGCTAGAAGCTTGGCCGCCACTGGCAAAACGACTCTGTGAGAAATTCGGATACGATAAGGTCACGGCTATGACGTCCGGCGCTGAAGCTGCAGATGCAGCGTGTAAACTTGCGCGCGGCTGGGGGGTTTGATGTAAAGGGGATCTCGCCGGTGGATGTGCTCGTTCTTGGGACGTCAGATAATTACCACGGGACAATCTCGGGAGTTTGGCCGCTCATGGAGAGAAACCACGGGATGGGAGGGTCAGTACTTTTCATTCTTTGTGCCTGATGCCTGATGCTTAGTCTAAGGAGGTGAAAGACTGATGAAGCAAAACCGCAGGGTACGGCACTTTCAATAACAATGTCACCAATCATAACCCGCTTACGGGGAAGGTTCTCCGGTACCTTCATGCAGAGGACTACGCTAAAATATTCGAGCAAATGCATAAGAGAATCGCGGCTGTTATCATGGAGCCTCTACACGGGACATCAGCGTACCTGAGCATCAACTCACTCAATTAATCGAATCCGTGATAAACGAGACTACTAACATCGAGGCTTCAGGTCCATGGAAGACCAAATTTCCTTCTGCCCCTCGGCTCTGACTGGCTTGGCCCCAAAAACAAACCTGATATGATCACAATGGGCAAGTCAATCTCCGGCGGCGCATAGCCAGCCTCCTTTGTCCTCGGCCCTGACTCGGTCATGAAACGGGTACAACCGTACCATAGCCTGAGCACATTCGCCGCGACGGCCATGGCCTGCGCAGTCGTTAACGCGTCCCTAGATGTCTGGGAGGAGGAGCATCTAGACGAGAAAGCACGCGCAATCCACGAAAAATGGACGAGGGAGGTTGCGTCCTGGGAGAGGGCGAAGATGCCTTATCACAAGCTCGCGACGGCCTTTGGAGCGGATATGAATCTATTCTTTGATACAGCGTATGAAAACCAGGTGGAGAGGGTTACCCCGCGGAGATTCTCGCTGCTTTGTGCGAGTATGGGGTTGCATGTTTATCCTGGGCAGAATGGACGGATGAGGCTGGGTGTTTCGTTGACGATTAGCGATGAAGATCTGTATAGGGGATTTGCTATCTTGCGGCAGGCGTTGGAGGAGTTGCCGCTTTATGGCGACATTGAACTTGGTCAATAGGCAGGTCGACATTTATGAGATATATAAGATGCCACTAGGCAGACACCTAGATATGGATAGTATAGCTGACTGGAGCTCTTTCAGGCTCATACGAGCTGTTAGAGGGACTCCACAATGTACGAATGATACAAAAACCGGATATGTCGTTAAAGTTAAGAATCCATTGGAAAATCACGCTCGAGCTATATGATTGAGTAGTTTGCTCCAATGATGATGCCAGAAGAACATACCGATACTAACGACCTTTATCTGTATTTTGGGCCACATATATACACGAGCTGAATACAATCAGGCCTAGCATTAACAGTCTATCGAGTTTCCCGCGCTCGCTTTGATCTCGACGAGACTCCCCGTCTTCGAGCCCAAGTCTCAGTCGCCCATAGGATTGATTCATGTTAGGTGGTAGAGTATTGCGCTCGGGGACTTGGCAATGCTGATTACTCCTATAGAGGCAGTCCGTCTGCAGATTAAATGTCTTCAACGGCATACTATGGTAACATACCCACTAGATAGGACCAAAATCATAGGAGGCACTTCATGACGAGCCATACCAATCACGCCATGATGGTCATCAAGAGACGGCTTGAGCGTAATAGCAAGGCAGCCTCAGAAAAACAAGCAAATCGAGGATTTCCGAAGATCTTGAACGTTCTTCAGTGGGTATTTCAACGAATTATAACTGCGCGAAACTCACCTTCAGAAGACTCTCCTCTCCGTCGAGCAGCCCAACGTTCCTCGAGTACCTCTAGAGTGCGATGCACATTCACAATGCAATGCCCACTACTCAGGGCTTCAAATCGCTGACGAATAAAGCTCTGATATACAGGCCGTTGCGTCCAAGACCCGGCCACGAACATGGGCAACAGCATGAGCTTAGCAACGGGTGCGGAGACCGAGACTGCTGCACACGAGTCCAGTATTTTGCCTATAGTCGACAGGGCCAAGGTTGAGTGACAAGATACCTGTCTCGGGCCCATCAAAATGACCAGCCAGGCTGTGTGGACAAGGGCTTCGTTGTAGAGGTCAATCGAGGACTCGAGGGCCCCGTGTTCCTGCTTAAATTGAGCCAGTTTCCGGGCGAGCAGCTCGATTCGGAGCTCAGCATCTACTAAATGGCAGCCTAGCGAATCCTGGGAACAGCTCTCGTTAGAGTCAACGGAGCGCAAGGATATGCCAACACGGTATAGTATATCCGCCACGGCCTGGGAGGCCCCAAGAAATGAATCCACGTCACGGAAGAACGTGCTGGGGTTGTTGGTCATATAATCTTCATCACTTTTAGCAATAGTCAAATAGTCCGGTGCAGCGAGCTGGTAAGGAGTCTCTCCCAGCATGGATAAAGTATGGATGTACCCTATCCATCGGACCAGGAAAAGAAAGGTCTCGTCTGTAGAGATCTCAAGTGTAAACCCAGTGTGTACTAATTTAATTGCAGATTCTAGGCAGAAAGTAAGGGCCTCCATGTTGTCCCGGGCAATGTAGGCCGAGCATAATGTGACCAGTATAGACAGCAATATCATATGCTGGTTTTGCGTGACAAGAATGGTCGAGGCCCGTAGAATTGCTTTGCTCACGTACGAGAAGGCTTCTTGTTCCATTATATATGCTGTAGCAGCCACATCATTCCAATCACTGCGGGCTTGAGAACTTTCTACCCAATTTGATTGGACCGAGTGCGATAAGAATAACAGAGCCGAATAGAGTGATGGGATTCCAGGAGCTTTCGACGCAAGATGTCTTGCAACTTGGTTATCCGGATCCTTACCATCGAGTGTAATACCCGGAATAACACATCCCAAGAATTCTTGCCACAGATATGGTACCGGAGAAAGGACCTCAGTTAACTGCAAGTTCGAAGCCACAAACTCAGGGAAAGCACTCGCATCTTCCATCTCTAACAATCGCTCAGTATGATTAGTTGAGTGCACTAAAGAGGCCGAGGCAAGAAGATCGCAAAACGATCCGTCGTGGTTATTGGACGACTGGTTGGACACTGCTGTCAATGCGTCTATCTCCATGAGGAGGTGGTCAATTTCCTCCACCGACATGAGCTGGCTATCCTCTGGGATAAGTTGGCTGATAGATGGAACCGGAACCGCAGTAAATGCTGGAGACGGAGCATTAGGCTCGTCCGCCGAGATGACGCTTGACGTGGGAGCATGCGGACATGCATTGCCATCAGTGGAAGGCGTCGGAACGTTTGAGCGTGGGCTGGGTTGTCCAGCGCTCCTCACACGCCACTCCGCCGTAGAAGAAGGAACGCAGGGGATATTGCGTTGGCGGCAACACGAACAGCGAGATTGGGCCTGGTCACACTTGATTCGGAGATTGCAGGTTAATTCCACGCACAGTTTGAATTCGGTGGATATGGCATGCCTTGTGCTTAGAGGTTTTACAGTTCACGCATGGAGCGCGGTTTCGTCGATGGACATAATCCCGTCCTGACATGGCTTCTGGGGAAGATGATTTGGAAGACGGACATCATGCGGCTACATGACGGTAGATTGCTACGGGATTTTGCCACATTTAGTAGACCGCCTGAAGTTCGTTCCGTGTTCCGTTAACCAAGAGTTTTGCGGCAATTCGCCCATTCTGGGAAACTCTGTCGCAGACCCACCATCTAGCTCCAGCGTCTCTGAGGGTATGATGGCAAAGAACCCCTCCGTCTCCAATGGATTCCGGGACACTGCGATGACCCTGGAAACGATGCAGCCAAAACGGCAGTTGGTCCAAACAAAATGCACTCTTTCGGCCGCCTTGTCTCTCAAGAAAGAGCAGGCATTCGAAAGCAGATCCTCAAAGAGTGGGAACACGAATGGAAGACATCCAAAAAGGGTAGCCACCTTCGGCGGATCGACCCAAAGCTGCCAGCTATCCGCACCCGACGATTATACGACTCGCTGCCACGGAACCGTGCCTATCTACTTACCCAGCTGCGGGCTAGCCACTGCTGGTTGGCGCCTTACGGGAAGCTCCATGGACACCGAGAAGATGATAAATGTGAATGCGGGGCCAAGGAAACGGTCACACACGTCATGCTTGACTGCTCAAAACTGAGAATTCCACGGCAAACGCTACGCAAGGAAGTGGCGAGGCGTTTGGAGATATATCGGCCATGCTAGGAGGGAAAGGGAAAACCAGCCATGTGAAGGCAGTGCTAGATTTCGCAGAGGCATCTCAAGGGTTTCGTAGCCGCGGACCAAGGGGCCCGCAAAGACAAAACCAAAGGCAAACGGCCACCACAGGCCCCGAGGCGAGGCTTAAAGTTCGCCTGTAAGAACTGGGATCATGTACAATAGAGATGCAAGGGAAGATATATAGTTGTAAGTAGCCTGCATATCGCTTTCAGTTGCGAGGAGTCAGGGTAAATGAAACCATCCGTCCATCCATCCACTGTACAGCTAGGCTCCCTTTTCAACCTCGCTCCCTTCTCTATCTGTGCTTCCCCCCGCTGCGCCCCCCAGCCTTGGGGAAAAGGGGTAGGGACACAGTTGCGTTACCAACTATGAGAAGCAAGCCTACCTAGCACATCGTTAACTCTGATTTCTCGTGATGTTGGTATGATTAAACACTGGTTTCGATAGTAACAGTAACATCCAAGCCGTCCATAGTGCAGAAAACGGACAAAGATGAAGGATTGACCTGTGCCAACTTGCGGTGGGACTTTGACAAGGCTGTCATCTTTATAAATTTGATAAGATGGCTTCACTTATCTCGGCAGTCTGAGACTCAGCTGTATCTAGATTTGACTTTATTAGGTGAAAGGCGATGATCTTCTCAACAGGTAGTTGTGTTAATTGGGTTCCACCATTGGTTTTGGTTTTGCCTTCGCAGAGGCGCAGTTGTGAGATTCGAGGCACCAGTCGACGGCATGCTGATCGATCTCTTCGAGTTGCTGTGCTGCTATAGACCCAGTGTGGCCACTTGGACTCGTCGGCAATCCAGGTAGATCAGCTGGGTGTGGGTAGTTCACGCTCAAACGGTCTGGGCCTTGGGTTCAAGAATTAAGATTTGGGCTATATGCGAAAAGCTACCAAATATGGCCGAAGTTACAAATCAAGAGCTTTGACACAATACTACCGATTACAACAGGTTCCAGGTGGGCTGAGGTCGATATTCGGCTGCCTGAGACGAAAAAGTTGATTATTCAGCACGGTGGGCCAC